TATTTCTAGTTTTCAAGATATAAAGGAAAATATGTCAATTTTTTTGCTGTTTTCCGCGTTCTAACTTTTGACCCCTCTCTAGCGCCATTTTTAATGCAAAAATCAAATAACAAAAACCGATGTGCACAACTTCAATGCTTCCTCTTTTGAATTTCAAAGGGTTTTGTGCTCCAATTATAACCATTTCTGATCCTTTGTCTGGAAATCGGAGGCATGCAAAATTCAATCAAAGGGGAATAACTCGTGAACAGAAAGTAATTTCCGAATTGTATTACGGTATTCTGACAGTGTTTTGTAAAGTCTAAAAGCTCTGAAAATTTGAACAAAATCTGTTTAAAAATGAGGAAGATATGAAGCGTCAAAGTTGGCGTCTAGGAAAAAAAAAAAAAAAGAATAATAAGAACTAGATTCGATCTCGTTGCGAGCAACGAGTGGGTCTTCCGTCCGCTTTTTCGATAAGATGAGATAAGAATTTGACTCAGATTTTCGTTTAGAAATATTGATATAAGTAAATTGTTAAGACGAACACTTTTGCTTCAGTAATGTGCACGTGTAACAAAATATTGATCATTAAAAAGAAATAGATTAGTAAAGACTTTCGGCCTACTTGGCCCCTTATAAGAGTGGTCAGCCCCTTTTCTTGATCAATACAATCTTAAAACTGGCCCTTCAACTCCCTAATGGGGACGTTTAGCAAAAATTGAAAGGTTATATATTGTTCAGAACATTATTTTGAACATCTTTTATTCAATATTGCTTATCAGAACATTTCCCACTTTCGAGATATTTCTGGCCCTTTTGGCCCCTAATCATGTAACATGTGATTTAAATATCATAATATATAGTTGAAAATTGTTGAGATAAACATTTTTGTTTCAATAATGAATTACAAATATTGATCATTAAACAGTTATTGATTAGTCCCTCTGGGCCCTTATTTTGAGGGGCCAGCCCCTTTTTCTTTATACCACTTCAAAGCTCTCATGATTTTGAACATTTTTTGTTCAACAACTATTTAGAAATTCTTTTTCGTTTCCGAGATATATGCGAAAGATATATTTAGGGGCTGGCCCTTCAACTCCTTAATGGGTACGTTTATCAAAAACTAAAAGGTTGCATATTGTTCAGAACATTATTCTAAACATCTTTTGTTCAGTATTGCTTATCAAAATATTTCCCACTTTTCAGATATAAAGCGTCGAAGATTTGGCATTCTGGCCCCTTTTGCCCCCTAATCATGTAACATATGACATAAATATTATTATATATAGTTGAAGATTGTTAAGATCAACATTTTTGCTTCAGTAATGTATACCAAAATATTGATTGCGAAAGAGTTATTGATTAAATACTTTTGGCGCCTCTCGGCCCCTATTTTGAGGGGCCAGTCCCTTTTTCTTCATACCACTTTAAAGATCTTATGATTCTGAACACGTTTTGCTCAACAACTATTCAGAAATTCTTTTTTGTTTCCGAGATATATGCGAAAGATATATTTAGGGGCTGGCCCTTCAACTCCTTAATGGGTACGTTTAGCAAAAAATGAAAGGTTGCATATTGTTTAGAACAATATTTTGAACATCTTTTGTTCAATATTGCTTATCAAAATACTTCCCACTTTTGAGATATAAAGCGTCAACGATTTAGCATTCTGGCCCCTTATGGCCCCTAATTATGTAACGTATGATGCGAATATTGTAATCTATAGTTGTAAATTGTTAAAATAAACATTTTTGCTTCAGTAATGCATTAAAAAATATTGATCGTTAAAGAGTTATTGATTTAATACTTTTGGCCCCTCTCGGCCTCTAATATGACGAGTCATCCCTTTTTCTTTGATATCATGATAAAGATCTTGTCATTCTGCACAAATATTGTTCAATATGTTTTAACAAAATAATTATACTTTAAAAGATATTGTACAAAATGTCTCAAAAATTCATTCATGATTCGTGTCCTAAATTTCGACCCCTACCGAGCTTCCATACTAGGCACTTTCGGAAAATATCTAAACCCAGGTGCATAATGGCAACATGTCCTCTATCATCACTGAAAATTTCAGCGCTCTAGCTTAAGCCGTTTTTGAGTTCCATCGCAGACAAGGAGGTCCTCTGAATTTTAATAAAAGGGCGATAACTTCCAACCGGAAGTGATTTTTCAAATTTTGAAATGCCGGTACAAACTTCAGATGATAAGACATAAACTCTGAAAATTTGAAGTAAATCGATCAATTCATCTCCGAGAAATCTTCTGCACAAAATCGGTAAGGAGAAAAAAAAGAAGAAGAACTAGATGAGATCTCGTTGCGAGCAACGAGTGGGTCTTCCGTCCGATTTTTGATAAGATGATATAAGAATTTGACTGAGATTTTCGATCAAATATAATGATATAAATAAATTGTTAAGACGAACAATTTTGCTTTAATACCGTAATGTTTAACAAAATATTGAACATTAAAGGGTTATAGATTAAAGACCTTCGGCCCTTCTTGGCCCCTAATGTGAGAGGTCAGCCCCTTTTTCTTGATATCATCTTAAAGCTCTCATGATTTTGAACACTTTTTGTTCAACAACTATTCAGAAATTCATTTTTGTTTTGAGGATATATGCAAAAGAAATATTAAGGGCCGGCCCTTCAAGTCCTAAATGGAGATGTCTAGCAAAAATCGAAAGAATGCATATTGTTCAGAATTTTATTTTGAACGTCTTTTGTTCAATACTGTTTATCAAAATATTCTTCCTTTTCGAGATATATTGCGCCAAAGATTATGCAATCTGGCCCCCTAAAGACCCCTTATTGCGTAACATATGATATCAACATCATGTTATTTAGAAAAAGTGTGTGAAGATGAACTATTTCGCTTCAGTAATATATTACAAAATATTGATCATTAAAGAGTTATTGATTGTATACTTTTGGCCCCTCTCGGCCCTTTATTTAAAGGGTCAGACCCTTTTCATTGATATCACCTTAAAGCTCTCATGATTTTGAACACTTTTTGTTCAACAACTATTCAAAAATTCTTTTTCGTTTCCAAAATATATGCAAAGGATATATTTAGGGGCCGGTCCTTCAACTCCTTAATGGGGACGTTTAGCAAAAAATGAAAGGTTGCATATTGTTTAGAACATTATTTTGAACATCTTTTGTTCAATATTGCTTATCAAAATATTTCATAGTTTTAAGATATAAAGCGTCAAAGATTTGGCATTCTGGCCCCTTATGGCCCCTAATTATGTAACATATGATGTGAATATCATAATACATATAGTTGTAAATTGTTGAGATAAACATTTTTGCTTCAGTAATGCATTACAAAATATTGATCGTTAAAGAGTAATTGTTCAAAGACTTTCGGTCCCTCTCAGCCCCTATTTTGAGGGTCCAGCCCCTTTTTCTTCATATCACTTTAAAGCTCTCATAATTTTGAACACTTTTTATTTAACAACTAGTCAGAAATTCTTTTTCGTTTCTGAGATATTTTCAAAGGAAGTATTTAGGGGCCAGTCCTTCAACTCCTTAATGGGGACGTTTAACAAAAAATGAAAGGTTGCATATTGTTTATAACATTATTTTGAACATCTTTCGTTCAATATTGCTTATCAAAATATTTCATACTTTTAAGATATAAAGCGTCAAAGATTTGGCATTCTGGCCCCTTATGGCCCCTAATTATGTAACATTAGATGTGAATATCATAATATATAGTTGTAAAGTGTGGAGATAAACATTTTTGCTTCAGTAATGCATTACAAAATATTGATCGTTAAAGAGTAATTGATCAAAGACTTTCGGCCCCTCTCAGCCCCTATTTTGAGGGTCCAGCCCCTTTTTTATCACATCATTTTAAAGCTCTCATGATTTTGAACACTTTTTGTTCAATAATTAGTCAGAAATTCTTTTTCGTTTCTGAGATATTTGCAAAAGAAGTATTTAGGGGCCGATCCTTCAACTCCTTAATGGGGACGTTTAGCAAAAAATGAAAGGTTGCATATTGTTTAGAACATTATTTTGAACATCTTTTGTTCAATATTGCTTATGAAAATATGTCATAGTTTTAAGATATAAAGCGTCAAAGATTTGGCATTCTGGCCCCTTATGGCCCCTAATTATGTAACATATGACATATATATTATAATAAATAGTTGTAAATTGTTAAGATAAACATTTTTGCTTCAGTAATGTATACCAAAATATTGATCGTTAAAGAGTTATTGATTTAATACTTTTGGCCCCTCTCGGCCCCTAATATGATGAGTCAGCCCTTTTTTCTTGATATCATATTAAAGATCTTGTCATTCTGCACAAATATTGTTCAGTACGTCTTAACAAAATAATTATACTTTAAAAGATATGATACAAAATGTCTCAAAAATTCACTCATGTTTCGTGTCCTAAATTTTGACCCCTACCGAGCTTTCATACTAGGCACTTCCGGAAAATATCCAAACCCAGGTGCAAAATGGCAATATGTCCTCTATCATCACTGAAAATTTCAGCGCTCTGGCTTAAGCCGTTTTTGAGTTCCATCGCAGACAAGGAGGTCCTCTAAATTTTGATAAAAGGGCGATAACTTCCGACCGGAAGTTAATATCCCTTAACGGAATTGCCGGAATTAACTTCAGATGTCAACGCATCTACCATGAAAATTTGAATGAAATTGAACAAGCCATCTCCGAGAAATCTTCTGCACAAAATTTGTAAGAAGAAAAAAGAATAAAAATAATAATAATAAAAGTGAAAAAGAAACCGAAGAATAATAGAAGGGTCTTCCGCTGAAGACGGAAGACCCTAATAATCTTAATCGTAACAATCAGTAGAAGGTCTTCCGTTGGAAACGGAAGACCTTAAAGATGAAACTTAAGTGAAAGCTTCCTGAGATAGAGTAAATTAAATTGTTCAAATCATGGCCCCTGAGGGTAGGGTGGGGCCTCAAAAGGGGATCAAAGTTTAACAACAGAATAGGGTCTCTTGTTCAAATATTTGTATGATTTTTGTAGCACTGAAAAAAAACAGAAAATGTTGGAAATGCTGGACAGATTAGAAAAAGAAGAGGTAGACAATGAACTGGGTAATTATTAAACAAGTAACATACATTACCTTCAATAAATGGCTTGTCTATACAAATTCTTATTACTAATCACATTAAAATGAAAAGCCTTAGCTACATGTACTGTGATTCAAAGCTACTTAGGAATATAATTATTGAAAAAAACAAGAGTATGCTGTGAAGTTGTTTTACGTTTCTTTTTTAGAGAAAGAGGAATGTGACGAACTCTCGCAGCGCCTGACTGGACTTGATTTAGGTAACACCCTGTACCTAACTTGATTTAGGTAACACCTTGTACTTAAGGTCATCTAAAAATATAGAATGATTGAAATATTTGCTACTTAAAGAAATTTTCTCACAAAAAATTGGGGAACATTACCAGTCATTTGTGCAAGATTCTGGAGGATGGCATTTCCTGTATAATCCTATACTGGCAATCACTTGAACTGCTGATATCGCAATTTTTGGTTTATTTATTTTTCAGACATTTTGAAAATAGTTTTAAAATCAAAAATAATGATAATTATAAAGATTTTTGGTAAATTACAAAGGAGTGCAAAACCAGATATTTGAGGAACGTGTCGTCAGATCTTGACGCTGTGTCAGGGTTTTCTTAGACATTCTAAAGAATTATTTGTACTGACAAAACTATTAAAGCAGTTATTTGTATGCTTGAAGATAACATATTAAGCCTGTATTTTCAGATACAGACACTGACCTCATCTGGAACAGACTCACTGAGCAAGAAAAGGCTCAGTTCAATAAAATGGTCAAGGATGGTCATCTTGCTGACCTTGTGGAAATTTGGACTCCATGGTGGAATGTCAAGGTGGGAAGACTTTGATTTTATTTTTTAGAAATATTGCATCTCTTTTTTAGAATCTTGCAGGGACATTATTACATATAAGGATGGATTGTAGTCGGTTTGTTAATCTCATAATATTAGAAGGCTTTACAACTTTTAAAGGAGTAAAATACATGAATTTGAATTGTACATTATTATTCATGTACAGTATGTGAAAACTGAGACAGAGGGTAGGTTAGCATATTTGATGGCAAGTTTTTGATGTTGTATGTCTAATATAAAATCAAAAACAATAGTGATATGATAATTTAATATTGGTCCAGTTTTTAAGTTTGACTGATGTGAATTTTTTTCACAAGTTAACACTTTTCACTAAAAATTTGTTTGCTTTACATTTTACTTATGGTTTACATTTGTTGGCTCCCTGTAGGAGAAGATTAGTGAAGTAGACAGTGTGAAGGAAAACCAGGCTCCAGCAGTGATTCAGAAAATACCAGACATCTCTAAACTTTTAACGGTAAGGCTCTGAGCAGGGATGGATGGAGTTAGGCAGGGGTGGGGGTCTGAGGCAGGGGTGGACAATCTAAGGCAGGGGTGGACAATCTGATGCAGGGGTGGACAGTCTGATGCAGGGGTGGGGGTCTGAGGCAGGGGTGGACAATCTAAGGCAGGGGTGGGGGTCTGAGGCAGGGGTGGGGGTCTTAGGCAGGGGTGGACAATATAAGGCAGGGGTGGGGGTCTGAGGCAGGGATGGACAATCTAAGGAGGGGTGAACAATCTAAAGCAGGGGTGGGGGTCTGAGGCAGGGGTGGACCATCTAAGGCAGGGGTGGAGGTCTGAGGCAGGGGTGGACAATCTGATGCAGGGGTGGGGGTCTCAGGCAGGGTGGTCAGAGGAAGGAGTGGATCTAGAATTTTTTCCCAAGGGAGAAGCTAGAGATTTATACACATTGAACGGTAAGGCTTTGAGGCATGGGTGGATCCAGATTTTTTTTCTAAGAGGGAAGCTGAGGGTTAGTGCTTATCAGTAAAGCTCTCATAAATCAACAAAAATCTTTTTTTAAGAAAATAGGTTAGCAGCTACTTTTTGCATGTGCTGTTTGCTCAGAAGTCAATCACTATGAACTTTCTTATATCATATATACGAGGGGTGATCAAAAAGTTCGCGAACTATTTCTATATTTACAAAACCACAATTCAGATTAGAATGAAATTTGGCACACAAATAATCATAAACATGTTCTATAAATAGCAGTTGTTACGTAATGTTTTGCTCCATTTTTGTGACGTCGCAATGTGAAAATGACGTCAATATGTAGGTGACTTGTAACAAAAAATGGCTGACACAGTCGTACTCGATCAATGAAAGGCTGTAAAGTTTAACGTATATCTTGAAAATTCCTTTGCAGTAGCATATAGTAATTTGTACAAGGTTTATGAAGACAAAAGACTTACCAGAAGTTCAATCATTAATTGGATTGATTGTTTTAGTGAAGGAAGGGAGATGGTTAAAAACGATGTTTGTTCTGGTGCCCGGTGAAAGTGAGCTTGGGAAGAGATGTGTCCTTAGTTGAGCAATTTGTTATGAAAGATCGTCAAGTTAAAGTTAGAAATATAGTTGAATATTTTAAGAATATTATAATGATTAAATCACTAAAGTATCGTTTACTTCAGACTTTAAACATATCAGATATGATAAAAAGAATGCGCCCATACTTTATCCACAATGGAAAAACGACGCACCAAAGACAGAGAAGTCGGGTTGTTATGGCCACCATGCTCATTCTAGCAAAAGATATCCTTATCAACCCATCCTATTGCCGAGATTAGGCCATTTATGACAAATGGACAATTCTTGTTTTAAAAAATAAGTTGTATGGTAAGAAATATAAGACTCGGAAGAATCTTTTAGCTCCTGTGAACAGAACGCTTCGGAGCATGTCATGTGACCGCCTGGATCACATGAATTGCGCGTGGGCAGAACGGTTGCTGATGTGCATTAAAATCGGAGAGGACTACTTTAAAAAATAATAAACACTGAAATCTAATTTTATCTCTTTTATGAGAGTTATTCAATTAGTTCGCGAACTTTTTGATCACCCCTCGTACCTCTGTTTATCTCCATGGATATAATCATCATCATTAAAGGTACATACTGTAAGTGTCTTTCTGCTAAAATTATTCACCTATGCATGTAAGTGTTAAGCTTTAAGAACCCTCTCTACACTGCACACTAAAGAGTTCTGATTCTATGGTATTTTTCTGCAGTTAGAGTGATCTGCCCTTAGATCTGAATTCCAATAAATAGAAATTTACAGTTTATTACTAAATTTGTAATCAATACAAGTATTCTTAACATTTTAATAAGCCAAGATAGATTAACTGAACACGTTATTTACATGTACATGTATTTTCTTCATGGAAGTAAACAACTGTGATTTCTGTTCATTGATACTGTGTTGTGTTTGAACATTTTTCCTGGGGGTAAATGCCACGTACCATCTATTAAAAATTAAATATATAAGCTCAATATTTACATCTTTATTCAATATAATTTTCTCAATGTCCAAAAAACATTTTGCACTGGTGTAGAGAGTCCTTAAATTTTAAGTTTAATTTTTACACATTTACTCATTTTCTACCACCCATGTTACACCCATAACATGGATGGTAGAAAGAGAAATTATCTAGATCTCTACATGTATTAAGTAATCACGTAGTTTTTTTTTAAATACTAATAATAATTTGTTGTTTTTTTTTTTGTAAATATAAATACAAAGAAGAGAAAAGGTTATGAATTTTATCTTCCCTAGAAATCTAAGCCATCAGCTGATATCAGGAACAACATAGTTAATGTCCTGTATGCCTATGTGTTTGTCTGTCACCTGTATAACGGAACTCACTGGGACTGTCCACAGGAAGCTGCTCTCGTAAGATGATGTCTCTCTCATTTTATTTCAGGTTTCCATTTCTTCGTGAAAAAGTTTGTAGTTTATATAATAAATATAAGAAACAAATTTTATTTTTGAATTTTCTCATTTTTTTCATATTGCTTAAAATGGCTTGACCAGAACATATTATATTTGATATATGACTGATATCGATACATTTTAAAAGATGATACATGTATATGATATTATTTGACATACAATTCTTTTTTGGTTCTGTTACAAGAATCTAGAATTTTGTTGTGTATTTGGTAATTCCTGATAAACTGTACATGTATACTGACTTTCAGAAGCTTGTGAATGCCAGTGATGTGCTGGCCAATAACTCTGTCTGTAGCAGTCCTAGTGAAGCAGTACAACTCTGTATGGCTAATGTGAGTATCAGTTAGATTCCATCAACTGAAATCCCTCTTTATAACATCTACCAATGACAACTCTGTATGGCAAATGTGAGTATCAGTTAGATTCCATCAACTGAAATCCCTCTGTATAACATCTACCAATGACAACTCTGTATTGCAAATGTGAGTATCAATTAGATTCCATCAACTGAAATCCCTCTGTATAACATCTACCAATGACAACTCTGTATGGCTAATGTGAGTATCAATTAGATTCCATCAACTGAAATCCCTCTGTATAACATCTACCAATGACAACTCTGTATGGCTAATGTGAGTATCAATTAGATTCCATCAACTGAAATCCCTCTGTATAACATCTACCAATGACAACTCTGTATTGCTAATGTGAGTATCAGTTAGATTCCATCAGCTGAAATCCCTCTGTATAACATCTACCAATGACAACTCTGTATGGCTAATGTGAGTATCAATTAGATTCCATCAACTGAAATCCCTCTTTATAACATCTACCAATGACAATTGTTTTATGAAAAGTAGATAAACCTCGGGTCATAACATTATTTTAAAATGCTTGAGTATTTATACAGTTGGGTAATTTGATCTTTAAAAAAAAAAAAGAACAGTTTATGAAAAGTTAAAGCAAAACTTGTTTTTGTAGAGGGAATATCAGCAATCTCAGGATTTTTTGGTCGGTGTGGTGGACGATGTTGTCAAGATTCTTCAAGGACCAGGAGGAGGAGGAGAGGATCAAAGATTTGTCCTGGCGGCTCTGTCAGATATCTTAAAGCTGTTAAAGAAATGTCACAGTCAGTACAAGAAAGGTAAACTATTATACAGCAGTCCACTCGGCTGACACCCTGTAATGTTCAGTCTGTCCATCTGTCCACTGTTGTGTTCAGTATTACTTGACTACTTAACCAAAGTATAATACAATGTATCCCTTCCGTCTACCCTCCCTGGCTCATACTTCACCTGCCCAGTGCCCTTGGGTACAGGATGTGATTTTTTAACCACGTCTAAGGTGTTGAGATTTATGTAAATACCATACACAGGGTGATTATTTCCAGCTATACAATTCTGGTAGTCATAAAATATGCATGTATTCAAAAAAAAAAAAAAAAAAAACCATTCAGTTGCATGTACATCAAAGATTTATATACGGTATGGGCGTATTCCTGCCCCCATAATAGTCAAATTTTGAAAATCTCTTGAAATGAGAAAAAGTGCATATATTGTATAAAATAATCCAAATTCAGACAATATGTTATGAAATTGGAAAAATTAGTTGGCTTTTCTTGTCTCTGTGACGTCACAAACTATTTGGATTTCCGTTATTTTTAAAAAAGAGGCCAAAATGCACAAAGTTTGTTCAATTTTGACTATAGTATTTATAGAGCGCAAGCTTGCTCAGGTACCATATTCACATATTTCATTGATATTATCATTCTACACATTATATCAAAAGATCTAGTCTGAGCAGACTTGCGCTCGATAATTTCCAATCAAAATACCGACGTAAAATACACTATTTTCTCTCAAAAATTATTGCAATTTGGAATTTACGTCATTTTATTGACGTCATATCTAACTAATGATGTCATAGTTGATAAAAATATTTAATGCTTTGAAGTCTACAAATATCCACCTGGTTTAGAACATAATTAAAGATTTCTCCATCAAAGTTTTATTTTGGGGGCAGATACTGGCCACTACAGAATATAGTCCTTTGAAAAGAGTTACTTTTCTTTTTTTCATTGTTGCACCTCTATCTGAGAAAAATATAAGTACATGTAGTTCATTCTTCTTAAAATTAAACCAAGAGGAAAACTTCATGGACTCAGGAGTATAAAATGTTCTCTCTAATTATCACATTAACTGAAAGTGGGACCCTGTCACCATCCAGGGATTTTCCACATCCCTGTTTAGGGCTAAAGTTAGTCCCCATTCCCAATTGCAAAATCCCTCAAAAAATGAACTGTGTGTTCAATTTGTAATGCACAAAAAATAAAACAAGCTTTACTGGACCAGAATACATTTATGTGTAAAACAAGCATGGTATTGGTCTGAAATCTACTAAAATTTTAAGAAACATAGTCCTGTTGATGACTGACAGTTTGTAAATAGATCTTATCTCTGATTGATAGTTAAATAAAGATCTATTTTATTTGGGACATCATTTTTGTTCATTTCCTTAAAATTATCATGCAATATGACTTCCCAATAACTGATCAAAAGTTGTTAAATTCCCAATTCCATGGGCTCAAGCCCCATTTTTAAAAATTGGGAGTTGAAAATCCTTGCCATAGCATCTCAATGATATTTTGTTTTATTTCCTCTTACAGACATCAAGCTTTCCAAGGCTGCCTCCTCAGATACTGAGGAGGAGAAACAGTTACTGTACCGGGCAATAAAAAAGACCGAGTTCTTCCTGGGCTGGTGTCAGAAATGTGGAATGGTTCTTCTGTCCATCTTACCAGAGCTCAGGCTAGAATACAGTAGGTTTAAAATTACAAGCTTTTATAGATATCTTGTAGATCTCAGGTTACAGCATAATTATGTGTAAATCTCAGTGTTTACACAACTATATATTAGGGATGTCAATTTCACTTGGATAGCCTAGTCCAATGAGTGAGGGCTTAAGTCAAGCGATTGTCTCGCACCAGTTTATCTTCTCCAGACACTAATACATGTGTTATGATTAATTTATGTATATGTATCACAATGTTTCTAATTCCAGCTTAATTAATGACCTGAATCTGCATGGTAAACAGTTCAAATGTACTTATCATCAAAACATAAAAGAGTTAGTGATAAATCTTGTGCAAACAACAAATTCAGTAATGAAATTAATTCAGACCTCAAGTGAAATTATAAAGTATGTGCACATTTATCTCCACAATCACATGTCTAAGTATGTAATCATTTTTGTTTAAAAAAACAAAAACAATAATTTGATTAACATCAGTCAGGGTCTGACACCAGTCAGGGCCTAAGCTTTGACACCTCTAGATAAGTTGAAGAACAAAGTCTCTCAATTTATTATTATTAAAATGAATATAGTAATAGTACACTTTTTGTGAGTAACAGAGTAAAAATTATTTATTCAGTAGTCGATATGATTATTAGTGCAGGACTCAGATACTCATTGGCATCCCTACTATAGATATAAACTGTTCAAAAACAATAAATCAAACAAGACCATTTCTACTTGTAGGCCGACTCACTGAGGAGTTGGAAGAAACCAATCAGGTCAAAGAGAGCATCAAGAGGAACCTGACAGAGTTACGTCCCCCTGCAACAGGAAGTAAACTGATAGAGGAGCTGACATAGAAACCAGACTGAAATGGCAAAACATTGGAAGCACCTAGGAAAACTTCTGTACTTTATCCCAGATGTGAAAAAAATTCCAGTGGGTGTTCAGTTTATGAAAAATGGCTATAGGTACCTGTTCACTTCACATTCAAGTCAAAGAAGATAATGAAAGAATAGAATGTTATTTAACTTTGTAATGCAATATGTTGAATTTAAAATTCTTGTACAAAGCACTGTTAATAAAAAAACTAGCAGATGATTATTTGTTACAGCCAGAAAGTATGATCAGAACTCATGATTCATGTATGTTTTATGTTTTGTCTTTTAACATTTTCTTGTCTCTCTTCTAATATTCTCTGTGCAAAATTAGAAAGAGACACATTATGAAAATAAAATATAGTCAATTTATTCACATCAGTTTATTATATATATTTCAGTGATTTATTGTATTTACAAATAATTAAATACATCATTGTCATACAAGTATGTTAAGACCAAGATTTTAAAGGGGGTATCAAAATAAAGTGACACACTGGAACGTTTAATATGTGCAGATATTAAATAATTAGCACTGCTGATATGGAGAGGGGCTTTATGTTTCTTGGTCTCCTATTTCAGTTTCTCATCAGAACATGACAGCAGGTGACATGTAACAAATATATGAAAATATTCAACAAAACAAAAGTAACATTCACTAAAAACAGTTGCTCAATAACATATAAATGCCAGTCGCTTTCTAATTTAAAATCCAGTCTTCCTATTTAAAATTCATGAATACTGAATGAAAATAAAACAAATAAATTTATCACAGATGATGAATGAAACTACAGTCAGACAGAGTTATCTCCCCCACAATATAAATGTAATTCTGAGTTTGTCCCACTGTTGTTTATGATCCGGGTTAGGTACAGATATGTTGAGGTTGATTGACCTGCCTCTCCACTTGAGCTAAGTATTTGTCTGGTATGCCAGCCGCCCTGTCAAGTAAGAATACCAATATTAAAAGTAGAAAACAAACGATACTATTTATAATGACATGTTCTGTTATATTGTAACTCTGTAAAGTTTAACTTTTGTTGTCCTGATGATTTTTCTTTTGGTATTAATTTAAGCTTAGTTTTCTTAACCACTGATTACTGTATCACATAAATCAAGATTTTATGTGCTAGCACTTTGCATATATCTAAAGCTACAACAATTTATAGTACTATTATGGTGTCTGAACACTAAAACACACAGTTTCAAACTACCGGTATAGGCACCACAGTCTGTTCAAGCATGTTGTAGGTGAACTGTCTAAACAATGAAACACAGCAAAGCAACATAAATGTATGTTATTCTGCACAAAGGGAATGGCATCTTTTGTGTAGCGCAAATCACAGCAAACTCAAAAAACAGAACTCTCAACACATTGAACAGTAATAATGAAGAATATAAAAAAATAAATAGAAAATACATGTATATGTAGCTTTTTAAAAATATGTTTATCTGCATTAAGTGTTTTGAGTGCTCTGTTTACTTTCAGAATATTTTTAAAGTTCAAAAAGCTCAACATCAAATTTTCAATAAAAATATTCTGAAAGAAATTAACTTGAACAAACATGACAAGAACAACCAAGTTTTTTTTTTTTTTTTTTTCAATATTGCCACACCTGCATGAGGTTGCTAGTCTTATGCAACAGTAACATTGACTTTGTGAGCAACATGACCTATATATTTCTCTGGAATGCCTGCATCTCTGTGGTACAAAGAAAATAATTTATTATTCCTTATGTAGAGAGGTTTTTCCAATGCAGTCTTTAGACAGATTCTTGTAAATTATTTGTCACACATAAGTAAAATCTTGCATCACATTTTTCTGTTTACCTTAATTCATTCAGTTTCTTCTTCTTCACTTCCTCTAATTTCTGCCTCCTTTCTCTAGCCTCTTCGTCTAACTTCACACCCTCCTCAAAGAAAGCGTTCCTCTCGAGGATACGAGCCTGCTCCTTGTTACGGATCTGTTTCCTGACATCCTCTGCATGAAGCAGCTTCTTCTTACTGGCCTCCTGTTCCTCCCTCTTCTCTTTCTCCACCAACTCCTTTTGAGCTCTACATACACCAAGAAATATGGCAATTCTTATTTGTTTGTAATTTTTTTTTTTCAAGTTAAAGGAAAGAAGATTAAGACATATTGTTAAAATTTTGCACAAATTGTTTTTTTTTAAATGACACTACTATAGAGACACTGATCAAAATAATTTTATACCTAAGCACTCTCTCAAACTCGGCTCGTTCTCTCTGAGCCTGGACTGCCAAGAAGTGTTCTTTCTGTTGCATTTGCTGAGAGCGAGCTTGAATGAGTGCAGACTCCATCTCGGTCTTCTTCCTGGCCTCTTCAGCCTCCTTCTTCCTCCATTCTCTCTCGGCCTGTTCCTGGGCTCTCTTGGCTCGGAGGGCATCACGCTCAGCTTGCTCATCTCGAGCCCGCTCCTGAAGGGCCCGTAATCTGGCTGTTTCCTTCTCCTTTTCAATTCTGATTCTTTCTTGTTCCTTTTCAAATGCAGCTTCTCTTTCCTAATTATTGAAGACACATTGTATGACATCTCAAAATGTTTAACTTGCTTTTAAAATTAAAGAAAACAATTTATATCAAAATTTTGTGGAGAATGCCTTGTATACAACAGTTGAATAACTCTAATGTTTATATTTGATGTATTAACTTACTGCTTTCTTCTTCATGTATTCTACAACTTTCTGTTCCTCAGCTATTTCTTGTTCCTTTTTAATTTCCCGTCTTCGCAGCAAATCTTCATTGGCTTTGTTTAAGTCCTCCTGATTACAAGAAGTATAAGAAAGATATATTAGACTGTGTTAATTTTGTCCATTACCTCCCTTTTTCATGTATAATATTTAACAGACAAATGAAATCACTGCATTGATTCTTACCCTAAGTGACATTTGCTCTGCATGCTTCTTCTCCAGTGCAACTTTATCCTCATCCATCATTTTCTCGATGTATTTCTGCATCTGGATATTTTCTTGATCTTTCCTCTCCAGATCAAACAGCCGCTCCTGTTCATTCTCCTGAATCTGATCCAGGAGTTTGGCTGCCCCCAGGAGTCTCTCCCCCTTCCTCTTTTTCTCAATCTCTTCCTGGATGGCAATAGCATTCTGTCTGTCTACCTCCATCATCACATCCAGTCTCTTATCCTCCTCCATCATCTCGCCCTTTATCTGTTTCTTCTCCAGAATCTGAGCATCTCTAATGGCATGGCATTTTGCATTGAGAATCAGCTACAAAAGAGAATATAGGATGTTTTATCTGCTATTATATAGCAAAATTCAAATGTCTTATTTTCTTGCATTTAACTAGTAAAGATTCACAAACATTTATAAATAACCATAACTGACACCCAAAACACTACATACTAAGTTAAATAATTATAAATCCTGCTATATATTTCCTTATGTCTATACCTCATTTAAATGTTTAATCTCATCTTCCTGTTCTTGTCTCATGGCATTTGCCTTGGAAAGCAAATGTTCAGCATTTTCTTTGGCCTCTTGTTCCAAATCATTTAACTTTTCATTTTTCCTTCTCTCCATATCTTTCTGTTTCATCAGATTCTTTCTCTGCTGACTGGCCTCCTGTCATAGAAATAATACAATTGAATGAATTGATTAACTTTGATGAGTACAAGAATTTTGTTATTACAGAATGTAAAATATTTTCTAGGAAATTATGATCTACGACAAATGTTGTGAGAGTGAATTTTGAATATTTGAAGGGTTAATTACGGTACCATCATTTCCTCTTTCTGTCTTTTAATGGCAGCTTCCTCAGCTTCTTTCTGCTCCTTTGTTTTGACTTGAGCTTCCATTACCATTCTGTAAAACTCATGACGTGGGAGAATGATGGACTGTCCAGAGGGGTCCTCACCAGGGACACTGTCAAAATGACAAAGTACACTATAGCACTAACACCATGTATTGTAAGAAACAAACACTCAGTGAATTAGTTAAAAGTTTATATCATTACAACTTAAGACATTTATATTAAATAGTTCCTTACACTAAATTTCTAATAAGATCCTTTGTTATAACTTGAACAGTTTCTTTGTCACTTTTGCCTCTTTTTGAATTTTTCCTTTTTGCACTTCTTTCTCGTGCAAGTTCTTCAATGGAGATCCCGTCATCTCTTACATTCTCCATTTTTTCTTTTAACATTTGATTTCTCTGTCCAACATGGTTAGGGGCACCAAATAATGTTTCATCCACCTGAGATGTGTGACTAACAACTCTATAATTGCGTGTTTTCGCTCTTCTTGATGATGAGGAGGAAGCAGAACTTCCTGCCGCAGAAATTGCACTGCCAGGCTGAAAGTAATGAAGGAATAAATTAATTTACTGTAAAAAATATAGCTGATGTTCTATTAGATTTTATTATGCATAGATATATAGGTCCCTGTTTCAATTCCCAAATCAGTAGATACTGAAATATACATTTTGTAAACAAGCAAGACCTAATATGATTATTATTAACTCAAAATACTTTTTTCCTAGATCTTTCAAATAAAATTTATATCATGTTAACATCTAACTCAAATAAGCTTTTATTTTTTTTTTCCCAGTACATGTGCAACATTGTGAATGTGTTTACTCCCTTTTAACTGTTATAACAGCAGAATAAAGTGAATTTGAAGAAAATTACTTTATTCTATAATTCTTTTTATTTATTTTTTTCTTTTAAGAGTGTCTTATACCTTCGTCTTAACCTGAAGATTTATTTTCCAATAACATCAAATAGCGCGACATTTCAGTCTATGGACATGAATAACAACAAGTAAGATGGTTTATCAGAATGTGCAGACCGTTTTTTAATTTTATTTATGATTTACACACTTGGTTCAACTGCTTTGAATTTTAATTAGTTCTTAATTGTATATATAAAATGAAATTTTTACTTACCATACTGTATAAATGCTGCTCCTATACTGTTTTTCGGTAACCCCTACACTTTATTGTGACATTACCTGCTGCTATTTACAGTCAGTAGTTATGGTTACGCAATGGCGGTCGGTAACAAAGGACGATAACTCGTACACAATCAATTTTTGATAACCTATTCTTAATAATTTCGTGAAATGTGGTATTGCTATGAAAATTCATTTGAATCCTTTAAAAGTCAGTGTTTAATAAATAAGGCAGATGCAACTCTTTTTTTAAAAAAATATAAATAGGTTCTGTGCTGTACACTAGACTGGTATTGCCTGTCTCTGTCGAAAGATATCGCGCATATCAGACAGGCAAGGCTCAATCGTAACTACTCGGCCATTTCCGTAACCACAAATAATAATCCTTTTGTAGTTGATTATGTGTGTACATCTGATGTGAATCTTTTTATCGGTTACGGAAAAGGGCGAGCGTGATCCGAATGAGGCAAGTCTATGCTGTACACTAAAACGATAGTACAACTTAACAAATGTTACAAATCGGCATCTCTTTCACGTTTGCTAAAAGGAATATTCTAACAATTGAAAACAGCATCTGTTTTACGTTGAAAAAAAAAACTCAAAATGACATCCACATGCTGTGTTTTGATGAAAGTGAGAAGTTTTAGAAGCATTCCACGTCAATCTCTTTGCAGTTAGTATTTTTCATTTTTAAAAACGCATTAGCTAATTAGTAATTTGACAGCGAGCAAGGTTTGTCATCATATTCCGAGTGGTTTCGCCCCGATTTCCTTAGAACAGTGTAGAATACATTATCTAATATGTTGACGATGCGACCTTTACGGCTAGCGCAGATACGTAATATGTTGACGGTACGACCGATGGGGCGCGCGCATTGTTCACTTAATTTTAAGCCTCTTCAAACCGCACGAGAAATTTGGAACGTCTAGACTGTGACGTCACATGACGTCTACGTTAGCTGCATTTCCATAAACAAAGTTAGAAAAGTGCAAAATTTTAACAAAGAACGTTTAATCTACTGATACTATCTGTATGCAATCCATTAAATTAAGTTGAGTTTATTTTTGGTGAATATTTAGTTGTTGTTACCAGTGAACGAAGTTAGCAGCGAGAACAACAACCGTTGCATTATGGGTCCATGCAGAGTTACTGCGTCAAGAAATTCTATTGAATGAATGTGCAGTAGTCCGAATTTTCTCTTTGCACAGGCGTTGTCATTAGAGCTCGCAGTGAGAAGCGGCGCTTTGCGCCGCTCGATTCACTCGCTATTATTGGATACCTATTCAGCTTTCACTTATATCCTTCAAACCACACGAGATGTTTGGAACTTCTAGACTGTGACGTCACATGACATATGTTAGTTGCACAACCAGAACGAAGTCTGTAAAGTACTAATTTTAACAAAGAAAGTTTAAACTCCTATTTTTCTGCAATAATATATCCATTAAATCAAGGTGAATTCAATATGTTGACGGTGCAACCATTAGGGCCAGCATGGATGCGTATTACGGGATACCTATTCAGTTTTATAACTTAGATCCGCCTCTTCAAACTGCACGAGACATTTGGAACATCTAGACTGTGATCTCATGACATGGGATGTTACTTGCATTACCATAACATAGTCTGAAAATTGAAAATTTTAACAAAGAATGTTTAATCTACTTTTTATCTGCAATATACCCATTAAATCAAAATGAGTTTATTATTTTTTTAACTTTTGTTGTTACCGCAAGAATGTAGCAAGATGCATACACATTGCATTGTGGGTCTCGAGGTAACTGCGGAAAAAAAAATCATTTGGATCAGTGTGCAAAGTCCAAATTTTCTCTTAGCCAAGTGTTGTTTTAAGAGCTAGCTTGCAGTGATAAGCAGCGCTTTGCACTGCTCGCTGCACTCACTATTAATTGGTGAACTTTTGCTGTTATCCCAAGAATGTAGTAAGCAGCGAGTTGCATTTGCATGGAATTGTGGGTCTCTAGGTTGCTGTGGCAGTTGCTGCAGGAGAAGAAATCATATGGATCAATTTTCTCTTCGCCCAGGCATTTCTTTAACAGGTCTCAGTGTCAAGCAGCCGTCTCGCTGTGCTTAATATTGAATGGTGGAGGGTGGAATTACTTAACAGGGTCTACGTTATGCAAAGATAATGGATGTAACTTAAATATCATTATGCTAAATTTTTAAAGCTGTGCAGGATATGAAGAACTTTTTAAAACTCATTTTATCCTGAAATATCAATTTGAATAAGGTGAATGACTATTGTATGCAAGAAAATTTGTGGTGTTGACTAATGAAACAACAAGATATAAAACAGAAAAAAATTCATATGTAGATTTTTGTTGTATAATTAAGGAAAAGGTGGCATAGGGGGGTTGTCTTAGTGGCTGAGTATTAAAGCAGCGAGCTAAAGTAGGTTTTGAGTTCAATCTGGCTGACATTTTGCCATCTTGTTAAATTTTGTACATCGGTCATGTTGGTAATTGAGATTTATGGGCAAATTTAGTTTTAATATCTTGAAAACTTATTCTGTTTGATGCTTTTTTTTTTTAGATTTATGATTATAACTAATAATACTTGGCTGTTTATGTATTGTTTATTGAAAAATATCAGTAATGTCTTCCATGTTGAATCTAGTTGACAGAATAATGACAGTGATCCCATATATTTTTATTTGTGTAGGACATCTTAGCACAAGAGTTTTAACACATGAAGACAACTCCAATACCTCAGGCAATGCCAGTAAGACAAACTCGGATATCAGAGCCATGAGAAGTCAGATGTTTTCAGAAGAAAAGAAAAGACAGTTGTCATTAATCCGAAGAGTGGAAAAGATTAATGTTGAATACACTGGAATACCTGAAAATTGCACACTTTACATGAACAAGGAATTATCAAGCCCAAATAATTGTGCTATGCGTGAGTTTTCATTATGTACTGTGTAAATGATGCATGAAATTTGTGTGTACAGGCATTCCTTTCAAACATTCAAAATACATTTACAGGTATCCATAGTTAGAATTTGCAGTAGGAGTGACTTTCAATGCACCTTTCTTGTAGACATGAAGTCTAACATTAAAACCCTGGCAGCCTTAGCTTTGGTTAATGGAGAAGTGTGGGACATGAATCGCCCATTGGAGGCAGACTGTGCTTTGCAGTTCCTGAAATTCAGAGACAGTGATCCAAGGTTATTAAACAAGGTAAACTGGAGCAAAATATCAAACTTCACGAAACTGCAGTAGAACTTAAGGGGATATAGAACATCAGTATCTGAAATACCAAGGATATGTCCTAGTGTAGAAGTTCCAACCACAGTGACTTTAACTTTCTTATGTACAGTTTTTTAACCTCAGTATCTGAAATCCTTGAATTTTCTTTTGCATTTTTCTCCATACATGTAAGGTTAATATCAAACAGACTTACCTATTATTTAAGGCTTTCTCTGTTAAAACAAACTCAATTTCTCTTCTAAATTGAATACATGTCTGTGGAAAAGTTTGAGTACCTTGATGGAATCTATGGATTGTTCTCTTCTGTCTAACCAACAGAGACAAAAGTAAAGAAAAAGTATAAATTCAAGTTTGTTCTAGGTATCCCCCACTATTCTCTGCAGACAAACTTTGTCAAAATTAGAACACTGCCTGGCATACGGCAATAGATCTGCATTCTAAAACAAAAAATGAGTTTTACCATGTGTACTGAGTTTCCTTTATTTTGAAATCTTTTCTACTTCTGCAAGGCTTTTTGGTCAAACAGACAAATTTGAGTTTTTATGTTGATGATTATGATTTAGTAAGTTTTCATTCTGGGGTCAATTTACTATACCTTTTGTAGTTGACTTTGTGTGTACATTTGATGTGAAGTATGCCTTTTGTAGTTGATTATGTGTGTACATCTGATGTGAAGTATGCCTTTTGTAGTTGACTTCGTGTGTACATCTGATGTGAAGTATGCCTTTTGTAGTTGACTTTGTGTGTACATCTGATGTGTAGTATGCCTTTTGTAGTTGACTATGTGTGTACATCTGATGTGAAGTGAGCCTTTTTCTAGTTGACTTTGGGTGTACATCTGATGTGAAGTATGCCTTTTGTAGTTGACTATGTGTGTACATCTGATGTGAAGTATGCCTTTTGTAGGTGACTATGTGTGTACATCTGATGTGAAGTATGCCTTTTGTAGTTGACGATGTGTGTACATCTGATGTGAAGTATGCCTTTTGTAGTTGACTATGTGTGTACATCTGATGTGAAGTATGCCTTTTGTAGTTGAAAATGTGTGTACATCTGATGTGAAGTATGCCTTTTGTAGTTGACTATGTGTGTACATCTGATGTGAAGTTTGCCTTTTGTAGTTGACTATGTGTGTACATCTGATGTGAAGTTTGCCTTTTGTAGTTGACTATGTTTGTACATCTGATGTGAAGTATGCCTTTTTGTAGTTGAATATGTGTACATCTGATGTAAAGTATGCCTTTTTGTAGTCGACTATGTATACATCTGATGTAAAGTATGCCTTTTTATAGGCCGCCTTTAGACAGGACGTATTATGTTATGGCGTTCATGTCCGTCCGTCTGTCTGTCTGTTAGCTTTTCTCATGTCCGGCTCATAACTTTAATACTATTAGGCCTAGGATTATCAAACTTTGTCAGCTGATACTTCTTGGGTAGAAGGTGTGTCGCGCACTAAAAGTAGGTCGCTCTGACCTTTAATGAAGATGCTGTGGTCAAATATGGAAAAATCCTGTCCAGCTCATAACTAGAAAACTATTGGACTTAGAATCATCAAACTTGGCCGATTTATGCATCTCAGGTAGAAGGTGTGTCACGACCTATTTCAAGGTCACTGTGACCTTTAATTTAAGTGAAATTTTAAAAAAAGCTGTCTTTTTACTATTAGATTACACAATCCAAAAAAATGAAAGAGTGTTGCAGTATTCTTATTAAAAAAATGTTAAATCAAGAAAATACTTATTTTTTTCATTATATACTTTACAGCAATCTACTATAACAAATGTAATGTTACAAGAGAAATTCCACCTCTCCCATGGGTGAAATTATCAAGCACTGGTCAAGAAGAATTTGATAACAGAAAATTGCACTCAAATTAGAGAAAAATTAATGAGTTTAGTGCTAAATGGTAGAGCATCTCTGATCAAGCAGGTGTTATCTATAGCTAGCCTAACTTTTAAAATGAATTTGGTGAAAAGTAATTAAAACTTATTTGATATTGTATAATAAATTAATTTGATATTGTATAATATAATTAAAACTAATAATACTCGGGGGGGGGGGGATATTGGAATCAGCATCCTTGTTGTCCGTATGAATTGCGGCATTAAAACCAGTCTGACATGAAATCTAAAAAAAAAAAATCAAGTATTTAAAAAAAATGTTTTAATTATGGTAGATAGTCCCTACAAATCTAAGAGTAATGCAGGGACCTTATTAAAAATGTTGCATCAAGATTACACGTCAAGTTTTTTTCTTCTTTTTATAAATCTTTGTTTTCAAATTTAATTTTCAGAATGACATAAATATGCATTTTTATTGCACTAAAAAGCAAATAGTATGTATAGATCCATTCATCCATTGGGAGTAATGAGTGGACATGCATCCAGTTAAAGATTAATTAATGAGTTCAGTGTAGGAAGGCTAGCTGTCTCAATCATTTCTGTTAGAGGATCTCTGATCAAGCAGCTCTTATATGTGTCCTTTGGGAATTAGACAGAAGAACTGCTTGTCAGTTCATAGCATATGTCATTTGATGGCCAGCCTTTTATTTTTAATACTAATTTGATATAGATTAAGTTGTTAAGACTAAATTGATATTGTTTAATATGATAATTTTATTTAATTTTTTGAAAATATCAACTAATTCAGAGCATCATGTCTCACAAATCTGAAAGCTGAGAAGGGGGGGGGGGGGGGCTGCAGATGGGCATTTGTCAAGCTCTAACACAACCAGTTGAGGATCTATAATATAATATTTGTTATAATTAATGCCTACACCATAGGAGATGTCTAATCAAATATTATAAGGAATGGAAAAATCATTGAAATCCTTGTATCAAAGTTGACATGATTTTGTTGCACTCTAAACTGTTAATGACAATTGAACAATATTTGACGGGTGTATCATGCTGTGGTGGGGCACCTTATTGTAGTTGACTATGTGTGTACATCTGATGTGAAGTATGCCTTTTGTAGTTGACTATGTGTGTACATCTGATGTGAAGTATGCCTTTTGTAGTTGACTATGTGTGTACATCTGATGTGAAGTATGCCTTTTGTAGTTGACTATGTGTGTACATCTGATGTGAAGTATGCCTTTTGTAGTTGACTATGTGTGTACATCTGATGTGAAGTGTGCCTTTTGTAGTTGACTATGTGCGTACATCTGATGTAAAGTGTGCCTTTTGTAGTTGACTTTGTGTGTACATCTGATGTGAAGTATGCCTTTTGTAGTTAACTATGTGTGTACATCTGATGTGAAGTATGCCTTTTGTAGTTGACTATGTGTGTGCATCTGATGTGAAGTATGCCTTTTGTAGTTGACTATGTGTGTACATCTGATGTGAAGTATGCCTTTTGTAGTTGACTATGTGTTTACATCTGATGTGAAGTATGCCTTTTGTGGTTGACTATGTTTGTACATCTGCTCACATTCTGATGAATTTATTTTGATTACAGGCATTCTGGAGGACAGGATCATTTTTGATTGGCTACGTATTTGATCGTGCATTTAAAGATGAACATAGAGTTAATGTAATACGGTTTCCTAGCAACCCAGTTGGTAAAGTTTTAGGAGTATTTTTCATATTCACTTTTACAAGAAGAGTATGATAAAGACTTTAAAGTTTGCCATTAGAAAACTCATGCTTTCTTATTTTATTCCTTTTTTTCTGAATTTAGTTGAAGATGGCTATTTTTGCTGTGACCTTGACCTAGGATCTATGAGTTCCTGGCAGCCACTACCTGTAAGTTGAGACTATCAACTACTTGAAACACAGCTGCAGCTTTTTGTAACAATATAATACATGTTATTACACTTTGTAAAATTGTAGTTTGATTTGCATGGTAAAAGAAAGTCAAAAAATACTCTTTTAATTAATGACCTACTATAATAATGGCAGGAAAACCAATGTAAACATTGACTGATTTATGGCATTTTATGTTTGCAGGATGAGTTAAAAGCTGTGTCAATGATAGGGAGCTGTCTAGCCAAAGAGGAGTCAAACTTTGAGCGACTGGAGGTTGATGAGAAGTTAGCTTTAGAAATGTTTAAAGACAATGAATACAAGTGTAGGCAGATACCGGAGATTGCCAAGTCCTCCTCCTCAGGATCCAGGGTCACTCTGTACAGACTAAAGGACTACGTAGACGTCACAACAGGGCCTCTTATAGCCAGTACCTTCTTCATTTCCATGTACAACATTGTCAAGGTCGGGAAAACCTCATCTGTTACACCAATCCTCTACCTAATACATAATTCACTATTGATTTATCTGTCTAGATCATCATGTGACTTGCTTACAGGTGTTTCCTATGAATCTCTCATGTGACTATCAACAGGTGTTTCCTACGAATATTCATGTGACTATCTTACATGTGTTTCATATGAGTTATCATGTGACTATCTTACAGATGTTTCATATGAATTATCACGTGACTATCTTACAGGTGTTTTATATGAATTATCATGCGATTATCTTACAGGTGTTTCATATGAAGTGTCCAGTAAATGGTGACATTACTAGAGTACAGGGAATAGCCATGCCTCCAGAATTACAGGTAAAATGGCCCATTCAAAACACAAGAAATACTTGAGAAACTGAGAGTGGTTTGTGTGTATGGTTTATTAACAAAGTCGGCAGCTAATAGGACAGAACTATAGTCTAGTTGACTGTTTACTTGTATAAATTAGTTACATTTGCTGATTGCTCACAAATTGATTAGAGTTCTGTGCTTAACAATGTAACAGAAGTCGATTTTGGCAGTAGGCTTGAGAAAAAAAAATGACTAATTTTCTTTAAATTACAGATACATTATAAGGCTTATGAATTACTGTTAGAGAGGGCACAAAGAATGGTGAGTAAATAAAAACTTACCGTACATACTTCATTTCATACTCAGTCTGGTACATTTTATCTGGGAGAAAAGGAATAAAAATAAAACAGGGAACATTTTTATATATATCTATGTAAAGCTTTCTTAATTTATATACATGTATGTCAGAGTTAAGTAACTCATGAATTAGAAATCAATGAAATTAGAGCAAATATAGCATTAATTCACAAAAGTACATTGTCATTATATATCAGTATGTACTATTTAGTGTGATAATGTTTGAGGTTACACAGAGGGGAATTTTTGAACTGTAAATATTCCTGTAAGGACAGAACATATTCCTGTTTTAACAGCTGAGTAGTTTATTCTGTAAATCACAGCAAAATGTACCTGCTATAATTGTAATATACATGTATTTTATTTATTTTATAAACAGTGATGGAGAATAATCAGAAATTTGATACTACAAACAATATTTTTATGGAAAAAAAACCAGCATCACATGAAATAGTTATAAATGTTCATGTTAATATTTTAGATAACAGGCCACAGAAAGCCATTGAGTAAATGGAATTCGGCCATACTCTGGTATATATGTATTGTGTGTAAAAACTCATGTACTTCTGAAATTCTATATTGTTTTCTTTTTTAACTTTTGCAGGGAGTTGAAGATCCATACAGGGAATCTTAGTAACAATGTAGCCACAGATTTTTCAATAAAAAATTATGTATGTTAACTTTTTATTTGTCAAACTGGATTGACTTTTCATGAAATATAATGCAAGAATCAGATTTATAAAGGTACATTTATCAAAAGTTTACACCTTAAAATATAGCCCGTGTGTTTTGTCTAAAGTCAACTTTTTAAAAATCTTCTGTGATTGCCAACTTAAAACAAAAAATTATATTCTGAAATCTTTTATGTAACAACTTTTTTAAGAACAAGATGCTTGTGAAACAAAGATGACCCCGCATGGCAGCTCAAGGCCAAGTGTAAAAGTTTTTCAACTGTCCATGTAGATCAAACTCCAAGGTCAAGAGTTCAGAAATGTGGGTACCCAAAGAAAGGTCTTGTCACAAGGAATACATATGTGAAATATTAAAACCCTAGCATCAACCGTTCAGAAAATAAGGCCAAGGTTAAAGTTTTTCAGAAGTTGGTCAAACTCAAAGGTCAGGGTCATGAGGTCAACAATATTGGTACCAAAGGAAAGGTCTTGTCACAAGGAATATATAAATGAAATATGAAAGCCCTAGCACCAACCAATCTAAAATATACACTCTGACACACTGTAGGTTGGAGCTTCAGCTTTCAGCAGTACAGCTATTAATCACTCTGAATGACAAAAACTAGCCATCCCCAAGCTTCAACAGTTTCAGTGTATTTGTTAAAGGGTGCATTGCACCAAATGCAATCTCCATTCCAAAGACCTTGGTAGGGATACACATTTATGTAATGGTACTGGGTAAGATAGGGCCACAGTAGGGGTACACATTTATGTAATGGTACAGGGTAAGATAGGGCCACAGTAGGGGTACACAATTAGGTAAAGACTTCAGGAAGATGCACTGTGTCTGTTCCAAAGCTATATATGTGGAACTAGATATCATTGAGATGGTGTGGCCATCTCAAAGGGCCCAGCTTTCAGCAACGAACATGAAAATATAAGGTAGCTGAAAAGGGTTTATTTTGAAGAGGAACATTTGTGTACTATTACGGGATGTGTTGTTTGAGTCTAAAGGGCTTCTATGTCATCCTTGTTATAATAAACAAGAGGCCCATGGGCCTTGAATCGCTCTTCTGATAAACTGTACAACCTATCACTTCTATTTGAAGCCTCGAAGTATCCTATATATTTACATAAACCCTTGAAATTCCAATTCACACTCTGAGAACCCAAGATGATTCAAAGCCAATTAGTACCTGAGAGTTGCTCATGGTGACCTACTTATCACTTGTCATTCTCTGAGGACCCATCAACTAAGTTTGATGATTCTAAGCCAATTAATACCTAAAATATTTTTTAAAATTATAATCATAAAATTTTATAAGTAGGTCAAAGTGACCTACTTTTCAATTGTTTTACTCCAAGTTTGATGATTCTAAGCCAATTAGTACCTGTAATATTTAATTAAAGCCATAAATTTTCAAAAGTAGGTCACCGTGACCTACTTTTCAGTTGCTCCTAGGACCAAAGATACATCGACTGACAAAGTTTGATGATTCTAGCCAATAAGTACCCAAAATATTTAATTACAGCCATAAACTTTCAAAAGTAGGTCACTGTGACCTACTTTTTAGTCGACCTTCTCCGAAGACCCAAGATGCATCAACTGACAAAGTTTGATGATTCTAAGCCAATTAGTACCTGAAATATTTAATTATAGTCATATAAATTGAAAAGTAGGTCACGGTGACCTACTTTTCAGTTGACCTTTTTTGAGGACCCAAGATGCATCAACTTACAAAGTTTTATGATCATAGGACTTAAAATGTCCAAATTATGCCTCTAAAATGCTTTGAAATCGAATGCCTGCAAAGTTCAAAAAGTAGGTCACTGTGACCTACTTTTTTATGACGTCGAGCTCTTGGAGCTCGAACGTCATCTAGCAAGCGCCCAGTTGAAATCGCGACCGGATATGTACGCGACCGAATGTGTCAGTCGATGCATCCGCAATAGAAAATAGCAATAGCTATAAACCAATTTCTTTGAAAACGCTCAAAATGAATAATTGCTTGAAAATGAAATTGCATCAATTATATCTGCAATTAATTCTATTGCAAAACAACAATATTATGTTTTATTCTCACACAAGAAAAACGTGATGGTTGTTGCGGATGAATTTCTACAGAAAGGGTGCGTTGAATGACATGAATAACATTTCGGAACGATAACCGTATAACATAAACAACACAACAGGAGGTAAAATAATTACAAAATTAAATAAACACGAATACTACAAGACAAAAAAGATTGAATTTCTAAATCTTAGCTTTACTTATACAATCTTCTAACCAACTCTATCCTAAAAACCGATGATATTGACCAGTATTGCTGTATTTCTCCATTTCCTCCATTTCCCAGTATACCGTATACCACGCCCGATCGTAACTCGATCGTAATTGTAACAGAACAGAGTCTTGGATGTAGTTTAGATGCAATCACTAATACAATGCTTTGACATTGGCAATTAGAAAAAATATCATATAAATTCATGAAATCCTTCATAGTTCTTCAATTGACTGAAAAGAATTTAGCATGAACATGTTCGACGGTGTCTGGTCAATTCGAACCCTGCTCCATTCGGACCATGACATAAGGCCCCAGACTGTAATTGTGATATTTTGTTTCAACTATTTTTTTTATTATGTCTCCTGAGTCACTCACTTGACTTATTGCTATCTTTAAATTCAAAATGATCTTTTGAAGTTGTTTTTCTTCTTCGACGTCATTGAAGCCTTTCAGGCTTTTGATAATAATTATGTTTTTTGGCCCCAAGATGCATCATCTTACAAGATTTAATGATTCTAAGCCTCCCCATATTCGAATTAATGACCTTAATTGTTTTAAAAAAGATTAGCCATAAAATTCAAAAAGTAGGTCAAGGTGACCTACTTTTTAGTTGACGTACTTTGAGGACCCAAGATGCATCAACTGACAAAGTTTGATGATCATAGGCCTTAAATTATTCAAAATATGCCTCTAAATCATTTTGAAAAAGAATGGCCGCAAAATTTAAAAAGTAGGTCACCGTGACCTACTTTTGAGTCAACATGATATGAGGTCCTTAGATGCACCAACTGACAAGATTTGATGATCCTAGTCCTTATAGTAAGCAAAATATCAACATTTTAATAAAATGTAATTTTTGGTCAACTTTGAAGTGACCTTGAGACCACGCCCTTTGCCCCAGGGTAAATCCCCGTGCAAATTTTAATCTACAACATATCCTCATCCTTTTGTGTAAGTTTGGTGATAATCTGCCCAGTGGTTCTTGAGAAGAAGATTTTTTAGCAACCAGTACTTTTGTTTCTATTTTCCTAATTATCTCCCCTTGTTAAAGGGTCACAACCCCAGTTTTAGTATAAAAGGGAGCCCTTGGGCCAAGGATACCCTGTGACAAATTTGACAATAATTGGCCAAGGGGTTCTTGAGTTATGGCCCATATTCTAAAAAGTTTACGCACACCGCACAAATGGCCATAGCATTAGCTCTTTGAGCCTTTGGCTCAGAAGAGCTAAAAATGGCACGAAAATCACAAGTGCTCCATACCCTCCATCAAAAATCACGAATGTTGCATATCCTTTACGAAAATTGTTGCATATCCTCTATCAAAATATGGAAGGAAAATCACAAATGTTCTGTACCCTAAGTCAATTGGTAAAGTTTGAGGCTGACTGGACTTAAGAGAAAGAAATTATGCACCGAGCAAAGATTTTAGACAGAGAGGCTATTTTGACCATGACCTAGAAACTTTGTTCAAGGTCACTGCACATCCATTGACTAGTGGCACTCTGTGAGTGAAGTATGAGCCACATTGGACCAAGGGGAGAGGAGATATGCTCCAGACAAGGATTTTTCATACAATTCTGCTATGACCTTAACCTTAGACCTAGAAACATGTTTCAAGGTCACTGCACACCCTTTATCCAAAGACTTTCTGTGGGTGAAGTGTGAGGCAGATTGGGCCAAGGAGAGAGAAAATATGCTCTGGACAAGAATTTAAACAGAGAGGCTATTTTTGACCTTAACCTAGAAACTTTGTTCAAGGTCACTGCACATCCATTGACCAGTGGCACTCTGCGAGTGAAGTATGAGCCACATTGGACCAAGAGGAGAGAATGCATGCTCTGGACAAGATTTTTCATATAATTTTGCTATGACCTTGACCTTAGAAACCTGGTTCAAGGTCACTGCACACCCTTTACCCAAAGGCACTCTGTGGGTGAAGTATGAGCCAGATTGGGCCAAGGAGAGAGAAAATATGCTCCGGACAAGAATTTAAACAGAGAGGCTACTTTTGACCTTGACCCTTGACCTAGAAACTTTGTTCAAGGTCACTGCACATCCACTGACCAGTGGCACTCTGTGAGTGAAGTATGAGCCACATTGGACCAAGAGAAGACAATATATGCTCCAGACAAGGATTTTTCATATAATTCTGCTATGACCTTGACCTTAGACCTAGAAACATGGTTCAAGGTCTCTGCACATCCTTTACCCAAAGACACTCTGTGGGTGAAGTGTGAGCCAGATTGGGCCAAGGAGAGAGGAAATATGCTTCGGACAAGATCTCGGACGGACAGACCGATCACTATAGGGCGCCCGCAGGGCAGGGCCCTAATAAAGAACTTTGATTCTCTCTAATGTTTATTATTCTCTCAGACTGTGAATTGCCCATCAATAAAGCCTTCATTTCTCAGAACAATTTTCTCTTTCAATACATGTATAAGATCCAATTCAAAACAGTAAAAATTAAAGTTCATAGTTAGTGATTTATTGAGTTATTTTAGCACTTTTATAACATTATACACATGATTCACATCTGAAATTGGAGTCAGACAGGAGAGAGAGAAGAGTAACACAGAATATACATGTAAATCACATACTGGTGAATTACACGGTAACATGTTGTCATAGAGATAACAACTTCCTGTTCTACTGAATGAAATTGTCAAGTAAATGACAAAATAAATTAATGACATAACACAGGGATTACATTTAAAAACATCTGTAATCTGTACTGATCAATGTATGAAAAAATATAAAGATTAGCCAATTTAGATGTAGCACATTTGGCACCAGTCAATTTTCTGCTCATAATAGTCATGTCGGTAACAAACAGCACCCCTCAATCCTCCTCCCCTGGAGACAGTTCCAGGCCTCCCCCTCAGTCATCATTGACTCCCTGTCCATGGACCTCAGGCACCTTCAGTTCATGAGGCTCCCCTCCTCTCTCTGAAATACCCATGTCATGAGCCAGAGTCCGACCCTAAAATTCAAATGTTTAAATGCATTGTAGTTTGCAGTCAAGTTAATTTGTAATCAATTTGAAAGTATCCAGTAAACAGAGTAAAGATCGATCAATAAAGCTTTGTGCATTGTACAGCTAACTCTCAATCTCTCAAAATTCAAGGAACCTTAAATACAGTCCAATCGATAGAGGGGTTAAAGAGATTGAAAGAGGAATGAAATCCAGAATTTTCAGGGCTGACCATCATTATATTTTCATGTCTACCGGAAGTATTTTTTGAACATTCTCATGATTCTGGGACTCTTTACTGGTTATTCACTTGATTTCAACATGAAAGATTGTTTCTTATAAAATGAATGAAAAATCTTAAGTTTCAAATGAATATTTATTTGTTTTCAATTCAATACTACACTCAAATTGTATATGGTGCAAAATTTTTAAATTCTGAACAGCACACCCAATCTAGCAATTTTACTGGTATTTTTGCCAGACTGCTGTATCACTTTTGGGTTCTTGAGATAGGAATTTTTTGCAATAGTTGCCATAATGTGACAGTGGAGAAATCAAATAAAGAATTGTAACTGATGAGAATATACTGACAAGCCTTGCCAACTGTCGAATCAAAATCAGTGTTGTTTATGGCTATCTTGTTTTTTTATTGACTAAACCAATTATTTAATTATTAGACTTTGAACAACATACAGATGTCGTGTCAACTATGTAAAACACAATATACACGTCCATGCTAGCCTAAGGCATTCACCATTATCGAGGTAAGTCCGAGCTGAAGTACTCACACTTGACTGATTGGCACGTACGCTCAATCAACACTTCAAAAGATCAAGAGTAAAAAATAATGACATCTCTATAACAGGACCTCTTGGTTCGATTGATAGAGATCTTTGAGAGAACGGAAGTTTGAGAGTTCAGGAGTAAATCTGCTTACCTATATAAAGATAAAAGATGACTGGGTTTTACTTCAGAGATCAAGAACTTCAAGAAATTGGAGTTCAAGCCATTGGTGGATTTCAAACTTGTGCACAATATCTTATACTAGCATGTCTACTGACCTGTTGAAAGAGTCTGTGAAATTCCTCTGCTGCAGGTACAGAGCTGAAAATGGCCCTAAACCCTCTTCTGACTGGTTCATCTGTAGCAAAGTCTATTGGGTGCCACTCGCAGAAATGCTGCTTCTTGTCTCTATTAAAGAAAACAATTGTGAATAATTTCATTTAAAACAGTGAAATATAATTACAGTGTATTAAAGGCATAAAAATATAAACTTCATAAAATTACAATTGAACTACATTTAGTATAACTTTATAAAAATTTTTCCAAAGAGTATAGAAAAGCTTACAAGACAATGTTGGACTCCACTAGGATGACATGGTTACTTACAGAACAATGCTGGATTCCACTGGGATTACATGGTTACTTACAGAACAATGTTGGACTCCACTTGGATTACATGGTTACTTACAGAACAATGTTTGACTCCACTGGGATTACATGGTTACTTACAGAACAATGTTGGACTCCACTGGGATTACATGGTTACTTACAGAACAATGTTGGACTCCACTGGGATTACATGGTTACTTACAGAACAATGTTGGATTCCACTGGGATTACATGGTTACTTACACAACAATGCTGGACTCCACTGGGATTACATGGTTACTTACAGAACAATGTTGGACTGCACTGCAAGGACTCCACTGGGATTACACGGTTACTTACAGAACAATGTTGGACTGCAATGCAATTACAGTCCCTGAAATATTCTACTTTCCCATTTTTCCATTTGCTCACCGTTCGTTCAGCATGCGTTCATCGTTCATTCACCATGTGCTCTCCGTTCACAGTTTTGTGTTCAGCGTTCACTGTTCGCTCACCGTTCAAGTGGGAAAGTAGAACGTTTCAGGGACTGTACATGGTTACTTACAGAACAATGCTGGACTCCACTGGGATTACATGGTTACTTACAGAACAATGCTGGACTCCACTGGGATTACATGGTTACTTACAGAACAATGTTGGATTCCACTGGGATTACATGGTTACTTACAGAACAATGCTGGACTCCACTGGGATTACATGGTTACTTACAGAACAATGCTGGACTCCACTGCTATTATATGGTTACTTACAGAACAATGCTGGACTCCACTGGGATTACATGGTTACTTACAGAACAATGCTGGACTCCACTGGGATTACATGGTTACTTACAGAACAATGCTGGACTCCACTGCTATTATATGGTTACTTACAGAACAATGCTGGACTCCACTGGGATTACATGGTTACTTACAGAACAATGCTGGACTCCACTGGGATTACATGGTTACTTACAGAACAATGTTGGACTCCACTGGGATTACATGGTTACTTACAGAACAATGTTGGACTCCACTGGGATTACATGGTTACTTACAGAACAATGCTGGACTCCACTGGGATTACATGGTTACTTACAGAACAATGCTGGACTCCACTGGGATTACATGGTTACTTACAGAACAATGTTGGACTCCACTGGGATTACATGGTTACTTACAGAACAATGTTGGACTCCACTGGGATTACATGGTTACTTACAGAACAATGTTGGACTCCACTGGGATTACATGGTTACTTACAGAACAATGTTGGACTCCACTGGGATTACATGGTTACTTACAGAACAATGTTGGACTCCACTGGGATTACATGGTTACTTACAGAACAATGCTGGACTCCACTGGGATTACATGGTTACTTACAGAACAATGTTGGACTCCACTGGGATTACATGGTTACTTACAGAACAATGTTGGACTCCACTGGGATTACATGGTTACTTACAGAACAATGCTGGACTCCACTGGGATTACATGGTTACTTACAGAACAATGTTGGACTCCACTGGGATTACATGGTTACTTACAGAACAATGTTGGACTCCACTGGGATTACATGGTTACTTACAGAACAATGCTGGACTCCACTGCTATTATATGGTTACAGAGATTCTCTTTCTTGTCTGTGGTGAAGATCACTCTGTGTCCATTTACATCATCATCAGAAATAACCTTCAGAACACCTGTCCCACATTTCTACAAAAAAAAAAAATCATCATCAGAAATAACGTACATGTACAGAACACCTGTCCCACACTGTGAAACACTGATGCCCCTGTATGGCAGCTCATGGCTTTAATTAAAGTTCAACAAAAATAGGTCATACTCCAAGTTGAGGGTCATGAGGTCAAAAATGTTGATACCCAAGGAAAGGTCTCGTCACAAGGGACATCGAGTGAAATGTATAAGCCTCAGCACCAACTGTTCAAAATATATGGCAAATGTTAAATGGACAGATGGAGCTTAGCTCACCTTGCACATGTTTATATCTGTATGCTGCTTAGCTCACTTTGCACATGTTTATATCCGTACACTGTATGCTTCTTAGCTCACCTTGCACATGTTTATATCTGTATGCTATTTAGCTCACCTTGCACATGTTTATATCTATATGCTGCTTAGCTCACCTTGTACATGTTTATATCTGTATGCTGCTTAGCTCACCTTGCACATGTTTATATCTGTATGCTGCTTAGCTCACCTTGCACATGTTTATATCTGTATGCTGCTTAACTCACCTTGCACATGTTTATATCTGGCCCCTGCTCAACTCACCTTGCACATGTTTATATCTGGCCCCAAGACCATAAACTGAGAACAGACTTAAGTCAAAATTTCAAACCAATATGACTTTTGAAATAATATTGATAATGAAACAAAATTTTCATCATGTATTGGAATTTAAATGTTCTATAAAATTGTAAATTTTTAAGCAAATACATGAAATAAATAAAACTCAAGATATTAAAAATCAAAATTTTGACTTAAGTCTGTTCTCAGTTTATGGTCTTGGGGCCTGTATGCTGCTTAGCTCACCTTGCACATGTTTATATATGTATGCTGCTTAGCTCACCTTGCACATGTTTATATCTGTATGCTACTTAGCTCACCTTCCACTGGTCATCCTCCATCATCTGAAACGTCACACGCTTCTCCAGTAGGATTTCTTCTTCAACATCATCATATTCATCATCATCATCATCTTCAACATCCTCATATTCATCATCATCTTCCTCTCCAGGACGTTCTTCTGTTGATCTTTCCTCAGCTGAAATGCCTTGAACAAACATAAAAACAGAACACTGACAAGTAAGCTATGCTACCTCTGAGGAATATGTATATAGAAAATTGACAAGTAAGCAAGGACATCTCCTAGGAATATGTATATAATGGTAGGATAGGATGGATAAGATTGTGATATGTGATGAGATTGTGATATCTTTATTTTAAAAGGAAAAAGAAACCAGACCTATATTGTGGCTCTCTTAATTCTTAAGATTTATAAGGATTTTTTTTTTTGCTCCCCTATGAAGCCCCACTAGTGACCTACCTGTCTGCTGATTGTCTGTGGAGTCTTGGGGAGGATTCTCAATCAGGTTTTTTTGACATTCATCAATCTTCGCCTTGAATTCTTTTGCCAAGTCAATACTCTAAAATGATGATACATTTACATCATCAACTGCACTGTATGATTAAAACAACCTTTTGTTAAGGAAATTAAAAGCCAAAACTATGTTTCAGGGAATACACAAAGGACTTTAACAGTAAAAGCTATTACCTATTCATGCAATTGTCATTTCAACTATACTTTCTATGCACACTATGATATTTTTTTTTTCAGATTTGACAGTTTTGGGCAGATATGAATTAAATTATCACATACAGAAGTCCTTAGTAACTTCTTGTACCTTAAACTTCACAGCAAGCTGCTCCAGCTTTGGTTCATTGTCACTGAAATCCTGACCAACCCAACACCAAGCAGTCTCAGAGGTTGCCATTGGTTGGAATTTGAGGTCAGAGGTCAGCTTCTGATTACAAGCAAGCTTTAGTACTTGTTCTCTTCGCAGTAACAGTCTGTATTGTCCTACAATAGTATAGGAGGATTAGTCAGAATAGTTAGTTTTTATCGTATGAATTCTAGATATCATTTACTAATCTATCAAGGCAGTCTAGTAATAACAATGTTCTGTACTGGCATTGTTAATCTTAGAGCTTGTACTTCTGAAATGGTCAGCTTAAAATGCATGTACTGTATTGATAAAAAGAGAGGTGAGTACAGTAATCAGTGTAGTAACTAAAAGTAAAGTTTAAGTATTCAGCGTTTATGATTTATACATGTACATGTACAGTGTATTTCTTTAAAAAAATGCATTTTCTGTAGGCAGATGGCTGAAAAAATACCCATGGAATAATTTTTAATGACAGAAATGACTTCCCTCCTTTTAAAAGCACACACACTTAAATTGGAGGAATAACCCTAAATAGCAAATCAAAAAATGAAAATCTCCAGGATGAAGATATAAAAGGCATAGAAGGCTTACCTGTTCCAGTGTGTCTTAGAATTTTCATTTCTCCAATTCCTTTCTCTTTCCACTGTTTTGTGTCCCCATCATATCGGAACAGCTTTGCTCGATGACTGAAGATTTTTTCATGATCCTCCTCACCTAACAGAAAAATAAAATGCTAATTTTATGATTCAGCTTTGGAACTGCCCAAGTGGTTCAAGCACTAAGAGACTGCTTTGGGGCTGTCAGATCAGTTATAGAGAGACCCAGGAACTGTTTTTTTTGTAGCTTGTGTGTGTTTCTTTACAAGTACTACAAAATTATCAACAATGCATCATCTACATGTATAACACACATACTAGAAATCATAGGAATAAGTACATCAGGATTTATCAGTATACAGTGGAACCCCATTGACCCAAACACTTCACCTTCTGGACAAAATTCATACCTATATATCATATCTATATATCATATATACCAAGTAGGTTTCAGTAATCCTGAAGCTTCATTTATCCAGATAATTTGCTCAGGAACACAATTCACTGGATTAACTAGGCATCTGTCCACGGTTAATGTAAAAGTAGTTTCAGGAAGAGGGACAGAAAAGTCAAACTTCCTGCAATTTGTAATAATATATGTACATTTCACGTACATAAAATGGCAACCTATCAAACTCCTTACTGAGTCAAACATTAATATATATGCGTATTACCTGTTTTGAATTCAACAAAGTCAGGGGAGGTGTGTATAACCTGTTCTGATGTCCAAAAGCTCAGGATAACTACTTTGACCTCCACAAGGTCAAAGTAGATTTAACCTCCATCAGGGTCAGGATAGATATGTATCACCTGTTTTGACCTCCACAAGATCAGGGTAGATTTGACCTCAACAAGGAAAGAGAAGATGTGCATTACCTTTTTTGACCTCAGAAAGGTCGGACTAAGATTTATTACCTGGTTAGACTACAAAAAGGCCAGGTAAGGTGTGTATTACCTGTTTTAACCTCCACAAGGTCAGAGTAGATGTGTATTACCAGTTTTGACATCCACAAGGTCAGTGTCAGTATGTATTACCTGTTCTGACCTCACAATGTCATTGTAGATGTGTATTATGTTTTGACATCCACAAAGTCAGAGTAGATGTGTTTTATCCGTTTTCACATCAACAAGGTTAGTGTAGATGTGTATTACCTGTTTTCACATCCACAAGGTCAGTGTAGATGTGTATTACCTGTTTTCACATCCACAAGGTCAGTGTAGATGTATATTACTTGTTTTAACATTCACAAGGTCAGTGTAGGTGTGTATTACCTGTTTTGACCTCCACAAGGTCAGGGAGGGGGACCACTGGTTCAAAATGAGGATCCTCTCCCTGAGCCACTTCATCTCCCTCCTCTTCTCGGTCATCATGGGTGAAGAGTTTCTGTCCTGCTCCCATCCAATTAAATGGCTTACTATCATCTATCAAAGCAAATGCACATCATTTATCAAACATTATCATTATGTTGATAATACTATTAAATATAACATTTCAAAAGCCTTTTAAAATTCGTAGGAATATTATGGCTTTATAGCATTTAAAATTTCCACAAGTAGTTATGTATATGTTTATATTTCTGAAAGTTTGTCAATGTATGCAATACAAACTATCACGATGATTGCAACAACTGAAGCTATATTCAAAAACATGACTTTTTTTCTCCAATAACTTTTGCAAAGAATTATAAACTGCAATGTGGAATACTGAACAAGAAAATGTTAACAATTTTAAAGACCTTTTTTGAAAGCATTAGCATCCGTTCCTGAACTGGCAGCCAGGCCTGAAAAGGAGAATCCAGATACACCTCCCCCTCCAAAGATTCCCCCTGTGGACCCCTGACCAAACAGGCTTGGGGTGTCACCCGTGTCTCCACCTCCTGTAGCTTGAGCACCAAACAACCCACCAGGGGGAGCAGCTGAGGCACCAAATATACCTCCAGAGGATGAAGAGCTGGACATCTCATCTACTTTGAACAATATACACATATTCATAAAGCAAGCAATTACAGATGAGAAATTGCATTAGAACTATGCTATTATTACTTAGAGGTAAGGTATTGTAATTGGCTGTACATATCTATTTACTGACCAAAAACATCAGTACATATAGCTAGGTGGATGAAACAGATGAAACCAATACCTTGGATTTTCTTTGGTGTGGGTGTCCTTGTTTTACGAGAGATTTTTGTCCCCTCCTTGTAATCTTCACAGCCAATACAACCTGGGCAGGGTGGGGCTTTCTCATACAGGTAGAAGTGGTCAGGTAACATGAACTTCCTGGCCTGTTCTATTTGATCTGGAGTAGCCTTCTCTTCCTGAACAACCACTACATCTTCATCCTCGCTGAGTAGAGATTGAAGACTGGTTGGAGGTTTACAGGATCCAGCAGAAACAGCAGGAGAACCTGGGGTCGAACTTGGCGTAGAAACTTTCTGCTTAGCATTATCAAATGCTTCTTTGAACCTATTGGCAATATCTGGTGTTTTGAATCGGACTGAAAAATTTTCATATTTTGGTTCCTCATCTGAATGGTCCATAGCGAACCAAATCCAAGCTTTTCCATTTGAGTTTGGCATGGGTTTTAAGTCAAGTTCTTTGGTGATGTAGTGATTACAGCATATCTTATGAATCTGTTCCCTTCTCATCAGAATTCTAATTTTCTTTGTCTGTTCATTTTCTAAAATTTTAATATCTCCCAGTCCCCTCTCCTTCCACTCATTGTTGTGAAAGCGGTAAAGTTTAGCACGATGTGCAAACAAAACAGTCTCGTTTTCTTCCCCAGTCACTACATCCACCTTTTCTGGGAGGTTTATCACTGGCTCAAAGTAAATATGATCGTCCTCTCCCTCCTTGTTTATGTACATACCCTCTTTGTCTACCTCCGGAGATCCAGGTACAGTTGTACTGGGCTTTGGGGGAGAGAATGTGAACTTAAATGAACTTTTGTCTTTGCTGTCTGAAGCTGAATCCAACTTGAACTGAAATCCAGATTTGCTACTGCTGTCTGCACCAAATACTGGTGGTTCCTTACTGAATTTGAATGCTGTAGGATTTGAATCCTCCTTCTTCCCCTCGGGTTTGGGGGTTTCAGCAGACTTTGGCTGAGTGCTTGTTGCAGCTGTGGTTGAATCAGGCTTCTGCTCAGGGGATTTGGATCCAAAGTTAAATGATTTCTGTCCAAACGTAAAACCAGCAGTTCTTGATGATCCAAAGTCAAACTCTGATTTGGAGTCCTCTGGTTTGGCTTCAGTCTTCTTGTCAGCATCTGCAGACGAATCTGCTTTCTCTTCTTTTGATGATTGACTTCCAAAAGCAAAACCTGAACTTTTGATTCCACCAAAGTTAAATCCAGTTGATTCAGAGGATCCTGTTGTTTTGGAAGCAGATGTTCCAAATACAAACCCTGGACCAGAAGGGCCTGTCTGAGTGATTGAGGCTGAGGTCACCTCGGGCTTTGCTGAGGGGGAACCAAACAATACTTCTGGTTTAGCAGAGGCAGTTTGTGTGGAAGGAGACCCAAAACTGAAGCCAGCAGAAGTTGGCGTTGGGTCTGCTGCAGTTGTTTTAGCAAGAGTACCAAAGTTGAAGCTGGAAGTTGTTGTGGAGTCAGCTGTTGTTTTATCAGGAGTACCAAATGTGAAGCCAGAAGTTTTAGTGGAGTCTGCAGTTGCTGTTTTACCAAATGTGAAGCCACCAGCAGATGCAGCTGTGACTGTAGATGTGGTAGTTGTCTTTGTAGTTGAGGTTCCAAAAGCAAATCCCACTCCTGATGAACTGCTGGAAGTTGTGGTTGATGGGGTTCCAAATACAAATCCCCCAGATGGAGCTGCAGAGTTTGCTGTTGTGGTACCAAAAACAAACCCTCCAACAGCCCGCACACTACCAGTTGATGAAGTCTTGAAGCTGAACCCAGATTTAGCTGCAATAATCCAAGGAAGAGTTGGGAGATATTCAAGTGCTATCTGCTCTAACTCAACAATACAAATACAATCCTGACAAAAGCAGAGTACAAATTACAGGTAAATATGTAGCTTTAGAAATGCTCCTTTAATAAATCAGCAGGATTTTTTTAATTCTTTAAATAAGCTTTCCTTAAACTAGACCTACTGCAATGAAATGAATGAGGTAGGACAAACCTGAAGACTGTACTCCAGACCCCTTTATATCATCTTTGACATCCTCTGGCTTAACCCCTGGTTTTAATGCATTACAGGCCACACATCGTAACTTGTCAGCCTCATTTTGGATCAGGCAGCCCTCACAGGACCAGGATCCAGGCTTTGGTTTAAACATGGCCGCCAGGCTGGGCTTTTCTGTCGTTGGGGCACTTTTCTTGACAGCCTCTTTAACCAGTTTAGGGTCAACCCCTGGCTTCCCTGTGTTACATGCCAAACAGAAGATTGCATCACGTTCATTAGGAACCATGCAAGTCTCACAAGTCCACGTACCTTCTTTGGGTCTAAACATTTCCTTCAAGGACATTTGTTTACCTTCAGGCATCTTTGTTTCGGAATTATCTTCCTTAGACACTAAAATGTAAAGTGTACAAAATAAATCTTAATAAAAATTTGTTTTTACCGCAGATAATCTACAATATTTACATTTAGTAACAAAATAAATCTTCCATCTTGTACAGTCCCTGAAACGTTCTACTTTCCCACTTGAACGGTGAGCGAACGGTGAACGAACGGTGAACGAACGCTGAACGAACGCAGAGCGAACGGTGAGTGAACGATGTGTGAACGCTGAACGCAACTTGGTGAACGATGTGTGAACGGTGAACGGTGAGCGAACGCAGAACGCGAACGGAGCGCAAACGCGAACGCACAGTGAACGGTGAACGAACGGTGAACGCAAGATGAACGATATATTCGGAATGCCTCTGATCTTTTCCTTGCATTGAAACTATTTTATTGTATTATAATGTCAGGTGCCAAAAAAAAAAAAATAAAATAAAATAAGTAAACCAATAAATGAATGAATAAATAAGTAAATAAAATAAATTCTCCAAAATTGTCCTAAGAAAGACGATCCATGCACATAAGTTTTTAATCACACGATTTTTAACGCATTAAAACATTGCAATTGTTGCCGAACGCTAAAGTATAAAAGATATTTTTTTAGTTGGAAAATAAAAATGTTTATTCTTATTTGATAACAAATCAGAAAAAACTTCTGACTTATAGAATGAATTAAAGCGATTGTAACATCCATTCATATATGTATCTCCGTGTCAAGGCGATTTCATGTAAAGTAATAAAAAATTAATTACAAAGGTCAGTGGACGTTTTGCATTTATACGCTCGTATTTTAAATTTTTAATACAAAAATATATTATGTGTCATTTCTATTTTTTATGATGATTTATTGAGCAGACTTCTACATGTATCTGTAGATGGCCGTGATTATACTCAGACAAGATAATACAAAGATACATATTCATATTATTTGTTATAAATTCTATTTTCCGAACTTGATATTTAAGTAATATGCTGTTATAATTTTTATCAAACAGACAAATGAGAGAGAGAGAGAGAGAGAGAGAGAAAAGAGAGAGAGAGATTCCGTTTTAGCCCCCCCCCTTCCTTTCAGGCTTCACTAAATGTTTGCACCTATATCAAACAATAACTCTGATATTTTTTTCTAAATATATTAGACAGTGAAAGTAACTTTTTTTTTATTATCAACAAATCATATCCATCTGTTTGACAGTATTACTCGTTTTTATTTTCCTGCTTCAAGTTCACACGAAGTCCACGTGCTTGTCCTGTCAATCAAAATCATTGGACACTGTGCAGGTGTGAAAGTTTCGTCACATCGAAGACGAAGTGCGAGTATTTCCAACAAGTTATAACATTTATTTTTATAATTTCTAGATTTGATACCAACAATAAAAATATATTGGGCATTAATACTTGAATTTGAAACATACTCTCTGCCAATTTCAAATACCACCGCCAACACGTGTACATTTTGAACTACTATTGTTTTGTGACTTTTTTTTAGATGCATGTTTGTTTTGAGACTGAAATTTTTGTTCTAAAAAAGACCTTAACTTTGTTTTACAGGTTAATTAAAATTTTCTGGAAATACAGTACTGACTAAGTAACCGATTTAGGGGAAAAGGGGGGGGGGGGGTATTAATCATATCGAATAGCAAACATATAAAGTTACGGTGAAGAAAGATTTTTTTCTCTATAACTATAGACTTTACATACATGTATTATAGTAGCGAATATTCTGTAGTGCATTACATTTTAAATAAATATTTCCTTTAAACACACTATCAATTTAATTCGCTCCAAAGATAATAAATTAACAGGATATCCGCAGTACTATGTATAACTCTCAGAACTAGTTCTATCATATTTTCTGTAGTAATTGAATAAAAAAACACGTTAGAAATAAATATTTTCGTAATTTTGCTGCGTAATTATTTGACTTGGATAATTATATTTCCATTAACAATTTGTCGTCTTTAACAAAACATCAAAATGTTGCAGTGCTTGAAGTATTTGCACATTGGCCTTAGTTAAATTTAATATTTCAGCATCGTTCTACATAGGTACAGGATGTGCTTATAACAACATTTTTTTTCCAGAGTAATTTAATAAATAACCTAATAGCTAAGTTAGAATAATAAAAATATATATCTTAGATATTTTCCCCCATGAAATAATGATTCTTCAAACACGATATGTTAGTATTAAATTAAACAATCTGTAACTCCTTACCTACAAAAAGATAAGTCCTTTCACTTGGGAGTTCCGAATGGCAATGACACTTGAACGATAGGTGAACGCTGAACGCAAGGTGAACGCAAAGTGAACGGAACGAAGAGCGAACGCTGAACGCTTTGTGAACGGTGAACGCGAGCGCACGGTGAACGCAAAACTGTGAAGGGAGAGCGAACGGTGAACGCACGCTGAACGAACGGTGAACGCACGCTGAACGAACGGTGAACGAACGGTGAGCGAACGGAAAAATGGGAAAGTAGAACGTTTCAGGGACTGTAGGTGATAGGTTTACCTTCTGTTGGACTTGTCTCCTCTTCCTCCTCTGTAGTAGACGAATCATTATCTGCTTCACTCTGACACTTCTCAAACACCTCCTTAAATCTCTCAGCCTGTTCCGTTGTCTTGAACCTGACAGCGAGGCTCTGCACCTTAAGTTCCTCCTCTGAGTAATCGTTAGCTACCCAGCACCACGTCTTGTCAGAGTTACCCATTGTTGTCAGCTTCAAGTCCTTTGTAATCTGGTGGTTGGCACACAACTTAAGCACCTGCTCCCGTCTCATCATGATTCTTGACTTGTTGGAGACACGATGCTTCAGGATCTTCATTTCCCCTATCCCCCTCTCTTTCCACTGACTGGCATCGGCATCGAATCGGAAGAGTTTAGCTCTCTGACAGAACAACACCTCCTCCTCTTCCTCCCCACTTTTGACTTCTACAAGGTTCGGTAGATCAATAACAGGCTTAAAGTCCACATTTGGTTCATACTCCTCCATTGTCATGCTGTCATTTCGTTTCCGTGGTGACGGTGTGGAATGAGATGAAGTATTAGCAGGAATCGGTTTGACAGGACTAGTTACAGGAGTAGTGGCTGTACCAAATCCCTGAAAACAGAAACGCTTATCAATTCAAGTTACATGTATATGGGTTTATAATTTTATATATCAATGTACCTACAATAAAGGGAAAAACAAGAAGTCTGTGAGCCAATGCTCACTAATAATACCCCTGCTCTGATGTGAATACAGAAGTTCAGTTACGGACAAACACAATGATAATCAAGAAATTGACATCGGATTTGTAAAAAATGAATCCCATTATATGGCATACCTAAACAAATATTGTGCTAAAATTTCAAGCATCTACGATGAGTAGTTGCTGAGAAAACTATGACCAAAATTTGTTATGTATGGTACAGACAGATGCAAGGATAAACAGGAAGTTGATATCAGATTCATACAAAAATGAATCCCACCATATGGCATGCCTAAACAAAGATTGTGCTAAAATTTCAAGCATCTGTGATGAGTAGTTGCTGAGAAAACTATGACCAAAATTTGTTATGTATGGTACGGACAGACACACGAATAAACAGGAAGTTGACATCGGATTTGTACAAAAATGTTGAATCCCAATGTATGGCATGCCTAAACAAAGAGTGTGTTAAAATTTCAAGCACCTGGGATGAGTAGTTGCTGAGAAAACTACGACCAAAATTTGTTATGTATGGTACGGACAGACGCACGGATAAACAGGAAGTTGATATCAGATTTGTACAAAAATGAATCCTACCATATGGCATACCTAAACAAAGATTGTGCTAAAATTTCAAGCATCTGCTGTGAGTAGTTGCTGAGAAAACTACGACCAAAATTTGTTATGTATGGTACGGACAGACGCACAGATAAACAGGAAGTTGACATCGAATTCGTACAAAAATGAATCCCACCATATGGCATGCCTAAACAAAGATTGTGCTAAAATTTCAAGCATCTGCGATGAGTAGTTGCTGAGAAAACTGCGACCAAAGTTTGTTATGTATGGTACGGACAGACGCACGGATAAACAGGAAGTTAACATTGGATTAGTACAAAAATGAATCCAACCATATGGCATACCTAAACAAATATTGTGCTAAAATTTCAAGCATCTGCAATGAGTAGTTGCTGAGAAAACTACGACCAAAATTTGTTATGTATGGTACGGACAGACGCACGGATAAACAGGAAGTTGACATCGAATTCGTACAAAAATGAATCCCACCATATGGCATGCCTAAACAAAGATTGTGCTAAAATTTCAAGCATCTGTGATGAGTAGTTGCTGAGAAAACTACGACCAAAATTTGTTATGTATGGTACGGACAGACACACGAATAAACAGGAAGTTGACATCGGATTTGTACAAAAATGTTGAATCCCAACGTATGGCATGCCTAAACAAAGAGTGTGTTAAAATTTCAAGCACCTGGGATGAGTAGTTGCTGAGAAAACTACGACCAAAATTTGTTATGTATGGTACGGACAGACGCACGGATAAACAGGAAGTTGATATCAGATTTGTACAAAAATGAATCCTACCATATGGCATACCTAAACAAAGATTGTGCTAAAATTTCAAGCATCTGCTCTGAGTAGTTGCTGCGAAAACTACGAACAAAATTTGTTATGTATGGTACGGACAGACGCACAGATAAACAGGAAGTTGACATCGAATTCGTACAAAAATGAATCCCACCATATGGCATGCCTAAACAAAGATTGTGCTAAAATTTCAAGCATCTGCGATGAGTAGTTGCTGAGAAAACTGCGACCAAAGTTTGTTATGTATGGTACGGACAGACGCACGGACAAACAGGAAGTTAACATTGGATTAGTACAAAAATGAATCCCACCATATGGCATACCTAAACAAATATTGTGCTAAAATTTCAAGCATCTGCAATGAGTAGTTGCTGAGAAAACTACGACCAAAATTTGTTATGTATGGTACAGACAGACGCATGGATAAACAGGAAGTTGACATCGAATTCGTACAAAAATGAATCCCACCATATGGCATGCCTAAACAAAGATTGTGCTAAAATTTCAAGCATCTGCAATGAGTAGTTGCTGAGAAAACTGCGACCAAAATTTGTTATGGACAGACAGACACACACACAGACAGACAGCCAGACATACAAGGGTAAAACAGTATACCCCCCTCTCCTTCGGAGCGGGGGTATAAAAATTTACTCCTTAAAGGGGCTGGGACACAGATTTGAAGCTCATATTTTCTTAAAAAAAAAAAATTTAAATATGATAACTTTTATGTTGCTAGAGCACTTCACACTGAAATATATTAAAAGCATGTTTAGAGACTTCTTTTCTCTGGAAATTATTAAAACTACGAATTTCGGGACCTGTTTGATTTACACATACCCTTGCACTTGCCAGAATAATTGATGGAGAAAAATTTAATAACATATTTAATTAAAATCACCTCCACAAGGTACCTCTTATTTTTGTGGAAGTACCACCTGGGGGTCGTAACATAAAGGGTACTTAAGTCTAAGACCATGCTTAAGTAGGACTTAAGTACAGAAACGTGCTAAGATTTGACAATCTTAGCAAAACTTAGGCGGCCGGAAGAGGTGACTCAAGTATGTCTTAACTTTCTTAAACATATATTTAGAACTATTTAAGGTTGACTATCTATGTTAAAACATTCCTCTATTTATATTATGCATTAAAAAATATTTTTCTGTATTTAATATACTGGTATAAGGATTTTAATTTTTCTTCGGTGGGGGGGGGGGGGGGGGGGGTATTCATCACTGATTACAATATCACTCTCTAAATGACATATACATGTAAATGCAACATATTATTTTTGGGATACGTTTGAAATATTAGTGGGAACTAGGTTATAAACACTAATCTTTATAAGTATATTGTATAATTTCAATTATAAAACTAATTTGTATACAGCAATCATGGATTTGTTTGTTCACTGTGAGAAAATGAGATGAAATGATTTTAAAAATTGTCTGTGAATTAAAGGATGATGACTAGAAAACAAATAATAAAGATTTTCTGTAAATTAGATTGAATGTAGAACGCAACAAGCGAGGATTCAGACAGGGTTCACTAACGTTCCAGAGAGAGAGAGAGAGAGAGATTGTTGATAAGTTGGAGATATACGAAACATTATTTTCTGAAAACAATTCTTTAATTTCCATCCTTCATTAAATTGTAAATAAGTATATCATAAAACGTCTGCATTTTCTGCTTACTGATATGGGAGGAAAAAAATTCAAAATGTCCCTATTGTTTTGCACTTTTTTTTTAATTAGAGTTTCAATTTCAAGTACATAGACGTTCGGTTATCGTGCCATGTCTGCGAGAAAGACAATTTGAAAGCAAGTGAACATTTGTCATACGAAAGAATAACAACAAACGGTAAACTGAAAACATCGCAGTCTCGAGTGATAAACAATATTCACGCATTTACAATGAACCACTAGTGCCACTTTGTGACCGTGCAATATTTGTTTTCAAATACATTGTATTTGGAATAATTTAAACAGAATGAACTTTAATTAAATACGAAATTAATCTAACCTAGCTAAATCCGATAGGTAAGGACATCAGCATTAATATATATGTGATTAAAAACGTAACTAAATCATTTTTACAAATATATATATAAATGAATTGAAAAACTAGGATGATTCATAACAAATATTTTGAACATGTTTGACTTAGCTAAGACCTAGCTAAGTCAATTTTATGTTACGGTTTAAGACATACTTAAGTAGTACTTAGGCAGGTCTTAAGACTGCACCTAAAACATACTTATGACCCTACTTAAGTCAAAAACTTAGCAAGCTTTATGTTACGACCCCCTTTTTGAATTTTTTTTTAAAAAAATTTAATACTTATGAAAAGTAGAAATTTTGTTGTGTACTAATAAAAATTGTGAAGACTATAATCCAGAAAGTTCAGAGTAAAAATTGCGAGAAAGTAAAACCAACTGACCATTATTGTCAGTCCGCGCTCAGTGATGTGTGCAGACTAAACAAATTCAACACGTCCAGTAAAACGTAAACACTAATAATAACAGAGCCAGTGTCCAGTTTACAAACACAAGTGTTTGACGTGATGTTATGAAGAAAGTCGTTGTTATTGAATTCTTAGAAATCATGTAAGTTCAAGTCATTAAACTGAAATAATTTTTGAATGAAAATAGACAGTTAATATTGTAAACAATGCAGCTGTGTCCTGGCCCCTTTAATAAGGTTTTTCAGTAAAACATTAACACTACATGACCAATACCTCACTTACTGGAGCAGCTTTATCTGTAGTAAGTGCACTGAATGATGGTAGGTTTGACGACCCAAATCCAGTGAAAGAAGCAAAAGGAGAAGATGTGGCAGAGGTTTCTGAGGAGGTCGTTGAAGTAGGGGTGGTTCCAAACACCGGTTTACTAAATGAGAACACAGATCCACCACCTAGTTGACTGGCAGATGTTGATGTTGCTGACACAGAAGAAGTTGGCACTTGAGGCTTTGCTCCAAATCCCATAAAAGTAAATGGCATGGAACTGCTCTGGGTCGCTGGGACACCACTCTGACTCGTGGTGCCTCCACCCTGAGATATGGTGGTGCTGGTGGACACAGTGGAGGGAAGGAATGAGAATTTACCGGGCTCATTGTGTCCTGCTAGCTCACCGGTCATGACCTTGTCTGGTGATTTGGAAGCCGCCATCAGACTACCAAACAGTGGCAGAGAGGAACCCACTGAAGTTCATACATGTAATACTGAAGTTTTTAATACTGAAGTTTATACATGTAATACACAATCAGAAAACTGAAGAGACATGGTATACCTGTTGAAATAAGACTGGTATAGTACAGAATCTTAACAAAATAAAATTTGGAATTTAATTTTGATAAAATAAAACAATTAAAAAAATTTTAATGCTGAGAAGTTCTTATAAGTGGATTTCAAGAGATCATTGTTTTCTTCAATTCCACAATTACAAAATGTACTTGGTTACATGTACCTGTTCCACCTGTAGATGAGAGACCAGCTGATATACTGGGGGAGGGTTGTCCTGGGAGGGAGGGGGCTGGGGTCACTGAGGGAGAACCCGACTTTGCCAGGGCCTGTGCTATCACAGAGGCTGAGGGTGGGGCTTCTGGCTTAGGGGAGGAGAAAAATCCAGGACCAGGCATTGGTTTCTGTTCTGTAATATATACATAAATGTGCTTAAGACTAAGGCTCACATAGGATTTTCTTTACACTGTGAAATTTTGGAGGGAAAAAATACAAGATTGAATAATCTCAGTATGAACCGATGATGACATGTATATATGTCATACAGAAGACCTTGCTTTCTATCTTACAGTATCTCATGCTGTTGTATCTAATTGCCACAATGATTCCACTTCAAGAAATTTACCATGAAAATGATCAATATTTAATGCAAAGCTTCAATTTTTCAAAAAGAGCATATCCTCAAAAGTACTCAGAACTCTAGTTTTGTCCTTTGAACTCAGTTGAATGTACAGATGCAGAACAAGCTTTTCTCCTTACCATGAGCACTAGCGTGGTACTGAATGGCCTGTCCCCTCAAGTTGTTGGCAAGGAAACCAGACTGAGCAGGGATTCTACTCGCTACTGATGGCTGAGGGGAGTAAGTGATGGTAGACTTTCCTGAAAAAAATTTACAGTCATGAACAGTAAATTAAAATGTACATGTACAGTAAATTACAATGTACACATACAGTAAATTACAATGAACATGTACAGTAAATTACAGTAAATTACAATGTACACGTACAGTAAATCACAATGAACATGTACAGTAAATTACAATGTAAACATACAGTAAATTACAATGTACACGTACAGTAAATTACAAGGTACACATACAGTAAATTACAAGGTACATGTACAGTAAATTACAATGCACACATACAGTAAATTACAAGGTACATGTACAGTAAATTACAATGTATACGTACAGTAAATTACAATGTACACATACAGTAAATTACAATGTACACGTACAGTAAATTACAATGTACACATACAGTGAATTACAATGTACATGTACAGTAAATTACAATGTACACGTACAGTAAATCACAATGTACATGTACAGTAAATCACAATGTACACGTACAGTAAATTAAAATGTACATGTACAGTAAATTACAATGTACACGTACAGTAAATTACGATGTATATGTACAGTAAATTACAATGTGCACGTACAGTAAATTACAATGTACACGTACAGTAAATTACAATGTACACATACAGTACATTACAATGTACATGTACAGTAAATTACAATGTACATGTACAGTAAATTACAATGTACACATACAGTAAATTACAATGAACACATACAGTAAATCACAATGTACACGTATAGTAAATTACATGTATAGTAAATTACACAAATATTTTGTTAAAAGAAATTAACTCCATTTGTAAATTAACATCTTGTTATCTAAGACAAATAACATTTCTTGACAGGATTAATTAAAGATTAAAAGATCTAGGCTTTTAACAGGACTAGGTTACTAATTCTCTAGTACCAATTTACTCTCCTATTGCTGAACGTATTTCTTATAGAAGATACAGTGGAGTCTTGTTATTACGATGTTCATTTTGTCACTGTCAAATATTGCAATACAGAGGCCAACGTTATAAAAGTTCCCAATAAATCTATTAACAATTTTTTAAAGCTTATGTTATCCATGGGTGTGTGCATATTTTTTCCGTTTTTTTCTTCCTTTCCACTTCAAATTTGTTTAAACTCTTAAAAACTTTTATTGACAACTTATCTTGATACATACATGTACATGTATATTTCCTTCATGCTATTAAACTCCTTTTGGTTTATTTCTAATGCAGTATTCAGATTTTGTAGTAATGTTTGGTTTTGTTTATTCATCCACCCCATTTTCTTTTTCCTTTTTCTTCAATGTGTATTAAGGTAATTCATTCCTCAAAATTTCACTGAGAAGCAGTTTTGTATTCACATGATTCATATGTTCATTACTTAATAGACAACAAAAAAACATAGTTTTTATTTACTTTTTATTTAGATTTATTTTTAAATAAAAAGAACAAACTTCACTGTACTCAAAACGGAGTTTCATGAGATTTGATTACATGCAAGCCATTTGTCACAGTTCAATAGCAAATATCAATCTGTGTTCCTGTTGTCACCTGTGAGTTAGCCTAAGACGTTACCCAAGCTGTTAAAATGTGATTCAAGTTCAAATTTTGTCAAAATTATGTTTGATGCCCAAGATGTCCATTCACGCAGTTTAATGGCATTTTTGGACATCGTTATAAGCATTCCTATTTCATAAGATCTGTTAAGAAATGGTTTTGTGCTTTGACTTTCTAACATAATGTTCTATCATATTAGACCGTCAACGTGATAACGAGACTACACTGTACTACTATCATCTATTACAGATTTCAGCAAGATAAATAGATCAGTTATATCTTACCTTCCACACCAGCCTTGTTACCGAACGGCCAGTCCTGTACCAATTGTGGCTCAGGGCACATGGCAGGGAGGGGCTGGGATCCATCATCTTCATAGAGATCCTCCCCAAACTGATAAATATCCTCCTCATATTCTGGCCTGAGCTGACTGCCCCTCCCATACTGTCGACGATTGGACATTGGTCCACCCCCAGGGATAGGGGAAACAGACTGAGTATAATTGTAACTGGACTGTACCCAGGAGTTAGGGGGGTAGGGATACTGGGCAGGTAGGGCGGGAACTTGGGAAGGGTATGCTAGAGGGGGTGGGGGAATGTGTGGAGGTATGTAGGGCTGGGGAGGCTGGGGTCTAGAACTGCATAACATAATGTGGTCCTAAAAAGACAAATTTGAAAAAGACTGTATTGCAGAAAATATGATAAAACAAGCAATAACATTAAGCAAACAAAAATTCCACGTTACAAGCTACATTTCCTCTGTAGAAATACATGTATTTACCATCATCCTCCTCTCAAGTTCCCGGAGCCGAGCCCGATCCTCTCTCATCTCCTTAAGCTGCTCCTTTAATTCAGTCATCAAGTCTAGTGTGGTCTGTTGCTTTGCCTCCAGTGCCCAAAGTCTGGCTTCCAGTCGCTCAGGACTCGGCCTTGTCCGGCCCCTCTGATGTAAATAAGACAACGTACCAAAAGTAACACATGTATTTAAATCATAAATATTCAACAGTCCTCAACCAATCAGGCACTCCTTCCTTACCTCACTAAAGCTGAAGTGGACGTTAGCTGGAGACTTGCCCTTGATTACGGGTGTACTGTTGTTGGTCAGCCCACCAGATGATGATGATTCTTTGACCGCCGGTGTGCTGCTGCAGGACGGTAGCCCAGACAAAGGGGACTGGGACCTCTCTGAGTAGTCTTGTGTGTGGTGGCTAGCCTTTGGGGTGCTGTAACTGGGTGTGTCCTCATCTGACCCCGATACCTCATCCTTCGCATCTTCATATCCTGATACACTGTCCACCACAGCTGATAAAACCATCCAACATAATATAAATCAATCAAACAGTGTATCATGAAATACTGTATACCACAGCTGTTAAAACCATTCAACATTGTGTCAATCAATGCCATCTCTCAAACAGCACAACAGAAAAGTCAAGTGTATTATAGCTGATAGAAAAGGAATCCTCCAGGGACAAATCTACATGAATTTGATTGATATTACATCTACAATGTACTATGGTGTACATAACAAAATGCTATACTACCTAGAAATATTACAATGTACATTAAAAAATGTTTTCAAATATTTTTTTTTTTATTAGAGCATGAACTTAACGAATACTGAATTTAGTGATATATGATTAGAGGTATTCATACTTACACTTGAATGACAAGACAAACTGACTACTTACAGACACCCAGTGAAGCACGGCGTAGATTCTCCAGCTCACAAACACACTCATCAATGTCATTAGGAATGATCCTGTGGAGCTCCTACAATTAAAGACATCAGAATTATATGTAGTTCTTCTATACCTCTATTCCAGGGAGAGGGCACAGTAAGGTTTTGAAAGCCCGATCCCTTTGTAATTGCAAGTTACAATAAAATATGTTCAAACCAAATCTACCATATGTATAGGGTTGGATACCGTTAAGGATGAAACGGTACAATACCCTACCGGTATTTTTGAAACGATACGGTATTTTTAACGATACGGTACTATGCATTGATGAATAAGAATGAGGGTTCATTTTATAACAAATGTGCTTTTACCATTCACTAACCTTTCAATGATATAATCTGAAATGGGCTTATAAACTTTGTTCCATGCTTTTAAGATATAAAAATAGATATTCCTAATACCGTATAACGGGTATTTTCTGCGGTTGTCCAATTTTTGCGGAATTTTACGGATAGGACAAATCCGCAAAAATTACAATCGCAAAATATTTTTCAATATTTCTTCAGGTATATATACATGCAAGTATGATAAGTGGTGGGTATGTCCTCGTTAGCGAGAAAATTCGGGTGTCATCGAAATTCGAAGATTTTATATATCAAGATATTTCCAAATCATATTGAATTAAAACGTTGCTGTAAATAATATCAATTTAATAAGTTTATACAAAAACATATTTTCTTGTACCTACTTCTTTTTTTTATACGGATATACATGTACATGACTAATAGAGATTTCGCAATTAATAGTCAAAACTCCGATAGCTGCAAACAACACATAGGTCCTAGTAGCTTTTCTTTCTTTCTCTAACACTTTTTTCAATCTTGTGTTTTATCTGGAGACCATAATTACTGCTTGTATACACAAAGTGGCTTGATTGTCTCATGAATTTCACACAATGCAGACGACTGACAGGATTAGTTACGCCTCAATGCACATGGCACCTGTGATTGTACACGGTCAACTTCAGGTTACTTGATTATGCAACTGTTTGTTTGAGCTTAAAATATAAACACCAGATTAATTTTAATGACACAATTAACTATAAGTGTATTTTTTAGAATATGGCTTGGATGCATTAATTGTCTATATATTAAAATATTTTAATAGATCACATGAAACATTTGTTACAATGTAGAATGAAGATTTAATTTTTATTGTTGTTTGGGTGGACCGATACTGCAATAATTCATTTCAATTGGGACTCGACATAATTTTACAAAGACTAACTGAAAGATAGTAGTTTAATTAAGCTTAATAGCTTCATACCTTTGATCAGTATGTCTCAATGAGTTTATAAAACGTAAACATGGCAGCTATCTGATAATTCTTAGAGATTGGTGATCATACCCAGTAAATAATTTTTGCGGCATAATGCAACCGCAGAAATTGAAAACACAGAAATTATTTGCTATCTTTTAGGGATCGCAAAAATTTTCAACCGCAGAAAATACCCGTTATACGGTATTCAAATTACAAACATTTCATTTCAACTTTTCAATAAATAAATGATCAACAAAACAAATCAATTGAATCCCAAACAGATTAATTTGCAAAAATCGGCTGACTGCTTCACCCGTTGTCAGGACCCCTGTTGTTTGGTCGCACTAAATGACGAAACATTAGATAATGGACAGATCACATTTTTTGCGACATTTTGCCTTTTTAATTAACATTTATTATCAGTTTTTATCTGTAAAATTAAAATAAGATTCATGTGAATGTATTTTGATTTTTTTAAAAAAAAATATACGTATTGATTTACCTCGAATATCGGCAGTCGAAAGTATCTTTCTAAGAATCCATTTCGTTACATGTAATTAGCCTACCCTTTCAAAGAGCGGAGAATTCGATTTTAGCAAGTTTGGAATGTTTATTTTTTAAATCAAATTGAATGAACTAAAATGTTTTAAAGATTAAGAAGTATCGTTATTAGTACTGGTATTAAATGAAACGGTATTTTACCGGTATTTTTTAAGTAACTATTCGGTACGGTATTGGTACCGAGTACCGGTATCCAACCCTACATATGTACATGCATGTATATGCACCACTCATAAAGGTAAGCTAGAAACAAGAGCATCTAACATTACTTTTAGATGCATTTACAGACGTTTACATTATTGCCTTCATATACATGTATTAAAATAATGTTTAAAACCTACATGATTTTTCTCCCCCTGGATTTTCTCCAATGTCTGATAGAGGGCGTCTAGTGACTGTTCAACAAGAGCTAGCTTCTGATTGGTTGATTCATCATCTGAAGGATGGATTTCATCTGCCATTGTTCTGTATATCTATAATACAACAAGATCAAAAATAGTTGTTAAATTCTTCCTCTCTCTCTACCACTAATCTATCTCTAATTCTCTCTCAAGGGATGTGGTAATCTGAGTAAAGTTGTTAAACAAAACTGGGACATACAGTAGGAGGCCCAGGGAGTCTCTAAATGTATGAACTGTTAAACATACAAACCTGGTACAAATAGTATGAGGCCCAGGGAGTCTCTAAATGTATGAACTGTTAAACATACAAACCTGGTACAAATAGTATGAGGCCCAGGGAGTCTCTAAATGTATGAACTGTTAAACATACAAACCTGGGACAAATAGTATGAGGCCAAGGGAGTCTCTAAATGTATGAACTGTTAAACATACAAACCTGGGACAAATAGTACGAGGCTCAGGGAGTCTCTAAATGTATGAATTGTTAAACATACCAACCCGGGATAAATAATATGAGGTCCAGAGAATCTTTAAATGCATGAACTGTTAAACATGTAAATTATACAAACCTGGGACAAACAGTATGAGGTCCAGAGACGCTTTAACTTTAGGAACTGTGAAAGTACAAGACTGGGGCAAATACCCTGGTACTACAAAGCCCAGGGACTCTCTAACCTCAGGAACTGTTAAACATACAAACCTGGGACAGATAGTATGAGGCCCAGGGAATCTTTAATTTCAGGAATTGTTCTCTGGCCTCCTCTAAATGACCCTCCCGCATAGCAACAGTTGCTAGGGAGAACTTGGATTGTTCTATAAGGTCCTGAATCTGATTCTCGTCTAGGTCCATAGGACGATCATCTGTAAAAATTCTGTCCCTGGGCAGGGGGATGTTAAGTTTCCTGTAAAGCAAAGTTTCCATATTATCATGTATCAAATATTTAACAAACTGTAAAATACAGAATCATATCTTATTGTGCAAAACCCTAACGATGTTTAGGCCTGTGCAAAACACTAACGATGTTTAGGCCAAGGTAAATAAATATTGTGTTTCCTATTCCAACCCAAGAACAAATAGGGTAGGTAGGTAAGTAGGGAAAACAATTTATTTTATTTTAACATTTAGTTAGTTAAAATTCAACTTTGACAATAAACAAAATGAGAAAAACAAAGAGTTCATTTCTTTTTCCCCAAAGGGCAGCTTACTAATGGCATTTCTGTTTAATGTGTACAGGATATGCATTTTCTCAAAAAAGGAAGTGATCAAGACTAGGATTTCTAAAAGTGAACATGGAATTGTTTTTTTTCCAGAAAGATATCGGTGGATAAATTTTTCAGGGCCGGCTCATATATTTTAGGGTCGGTCAGGGAACCGAAAACACACAATTTATTTATCTAGGCCTTACCTTTCCATTCTTGACAAGAGCAGTGTTGCCTCCTGCCAGTAGTGAGCTGCTCGTCTCTCAAAAGCATGTAGCTTGTCCCCCTGCTCCAATTCCAACGCTTTCAACTCTTTCACCTATTCAAAATCAATTTACACTGCCAATAAATTTACAGTACAAAATTTTGCAAAGAATTTCATGGTAAAAGACTAAGAAATTTCATCAGTTTTCATTTACATGTACATAATCTAATCCTTTTTATATGCATGTAAATCAATAAAAAATGGGGGGGGGGAGGAATTACTGAACCAACATGTACATGCTCTTCAGCAACATGAAAACTGACATTTTTCTTTTTCTGAATGAAGAGTTACATATTTAGTTTTAATTTTCTTACTTTAGACAATTTTCATGAATACATGAATTTCATAAATTATCCTTTAGATTTGGATTTACATAATATATTTCACTGACCCTTTCATCAAATGTCCTAGCCAGGTGAATAATGAGTGCTACAGACACTCCATGAGTTCCCAGTAGTCTGACGGTCTCCAGGCCTTTTTGTATAACGAGTCTCAATCTGGGGGTCTGGTCCCTAGCCAGATTGTGACAGAACTTGTACATCGCAGTCCACCAGTCACACTGAGATTCCGTACACAGTCGCACCCTGAAGCATGCTGGGAGTAATCGAGGCTGGTACTGGTCAAAACGTGTCACCTTACACCGTTCCTCAAAAGCCGATGCTGCACATTTTACTGTAGCGATGAAGAAAGCCTGAAAACATCACTAAAAATTGTTACACATATTCGAAAGTTACGATTCCAGTATTTAAAACATCATGTCCCTCACAAGAACTGTTTGTGATGGAATCAATCCCTAAAATTCTAAAGACTAATACAAAACTGCTGGAGAAAAAAAAACAAACACCAACTTCCATGTAAGTGTGTATTTAACATAGAGATGTTGTATTAGTGTTGCAAAAAAGTAGGTTTGCACACTGTAATGTTGCAATGAAGAAAGCCTGAAAACATCACTGAAAGTGTTTTACAACATCAAATAGTTATGTTCAGGGCTCCATTAAAGTTTGACTGTTTTTGTAATCAGATAAGTCAATCTTCAGACACACTTGTCCAATCACACAAATGACATTTTTACCTTCATGGAATGTTGTGAATATGATTTTTTTTAAATTGTACATAATTCACTAACCATGTCATTTTTAAAATTGTAAAACAAGCAATCCTTAGGGTTCATACTGTTAACTGAGAAGGGTGATCGAGACTAGGTTACAGATATCACTATTGTATTTAATATCAGTTATGTTTTTATTTTTATGATTTACAAATCTCTGTCACTTAATATCATATATAACTTCGTCAATTTTGAAAATAAAGTTCTACAAATTTCTTTACTTCTGTTCAGTTTGACATTAATGAGTTCAGACAAGTAACATTTGCTGGCAACTTATTTGATAGACAAGTGGATATTTTAGTTAATACTGAGCCCTGATGATTCCAAGAATGAAATTATTAGCCTCTAAGGAACTGTTTATCTGTTGGACTTAATGACTAACACAAAATTCTTCTAGACAAGAGTCACTAACATTCAACTAAATGTACACTCTGTAAAAATGTGACAGCAAAAGGTTACCATGATATCAAGTTGACACAAGGATTCTGGAGCTGCAGAACTCAGGTCAGGGGTAGACAACGGGATTTTCTCTGGGATACAAAGTGGATCTAAAACAAATTTACATGTACATTTCTAAGTTAGGTTATATTGAACATGAATGATTTGAAGAGTTCTCTGAAAACTTGGTGACTGAGTAACTTACAAGACTTCTGAGTGACTTCCTGTGAGGAGTATCTGTTCAGAGCAATCCATACTAGCTCTTGTAAGTTACCCTCATGTAAACTGAATACACCTGCAATAAGAAAACAATATAATTAATAATAATGCATTTACATGTACATATATTAACATGTAATATTTCATATCACATAAATTAACATGTACTTTTCCTGAGTCTAGTAGAGCCAGTACCTTCATCATAGGTCTCCAGTGACTGTCTAGATGGAGCCACTAGTGTGGTTGCTATAAATAAATCCTTTACGACAATGAAGGAGGACATTGCTTTGTTTCTCATTTCCCTCAGCGTAAACATTAGTTCATACATCCTGTCCACTGCCTTCCCCGTCTGTAACTGTCGGTATTCCTTCATACGTGTCACGTTACCTCTTTCTGTGAGGGGGAGAAGCAAGTAACCTGAAATAAAAAGCAAAATATTCCATTATCAAACAGTAAAGTGAAATCAAAATTGTTTTGAAAATGCATACTTACAAAAATAAATACTCAGAGAATATATTATTTCAGCAATGGCTTTCTGAACAAAGAACAAGTCTCAATAAGGCTTATCTGTGGTCCCCGGTTACTCGTCAAATTTTGAACATTAAAAGATTTAAAAATTAAATTTTATCATTAACTAATGTCTCTATTTTTTGAATCATTATCTAAAATTGTCAAACAATAGATATAGGCAGCATAAGAAGCTGCGTGTTGAAGATAGGGTCCTTTGATTTTCATGAATATCAAAAGAAATCAGCGACACGTACACACTTCAAAGCTTTCGTAAACACCGAGCACAGGTTTGTTCAGAGTCAAGTTTGAAATATAATGTGTATAATATATGTGTAGATGTTATTAAGTGAAAATATCTTTGTTGAACAACCCTGTGCTCTATGTTTTCTAATGAAAAGTATTCTGATTTTGAATCTCTTTGCTGACTTCATTTACATGCGATTAACCTCTTTATGACCTGTTTAGAATCATAACAAGCCACATGGATTTGTATCGTTACGGGCAATTGCCCCAAGTAAACGTGCCAGCTCTCAGTTGAAACATACTCAGTTTTATATCTGTCAACATGGAATATTGTTTGGTTCCTCTTGTTATAGCATTTAATTGTCAAAGATTTGTAAATAGAAAATTGTATTTGTAGTTGATTGTGAATCTTGAACATATAATTCATCTTTGAAAAAAAATATCATATTAAGATATATTCTTTTTATAGTAGCTAATCTAAATGTCTCCACCCATTTTCATGTAATAGAGAAACCATAGCCTGATCGGGGGAAAATGTTCCGGCATTTTTTAGCGCGATAGGTTTAAAAAATTTGCTTGTATTTTTTAATTTAATTTAGTTTAATTATTCATTATAAATACACAATGCTTTAATTAGAAATACTTCATCATACACAATGAAAACAAACAAAATACTGTATGCTAATATTTAACCGGTAAATCAAGGGTGTAAAAAGGGACCACACTACTATACTTAAGTAGAATACTCTTTTCTGCAATGATTATACATATACAAACACTTAAGTCTGGAGTGATATCGATACTCATTTCTGCTATGTGATTTTCTATACAAAGTGACACATTTAGCCCAGAATCTACCCTCAAGAATGTACACTTTCTTTAAATAATGATTACAAACTGTACACTTTTTATACAGAGGTCACTTTTTAGACTATCCACCTCCTTGGACGAGCCTTTAAAAGTTTAACCTCCACTTTTTTAGACTACCCATCTCCATGGCTTAGCCTGTAACAACTTGACCTCCACTATTTAGACTACCCATCTCTTTGGCTGAGCCTGTAACAAAAACTTGACCTCCACTTTTTTAGACTACCCACCTCCTTGGCTGAGCCTGTAACAACTTGACCTCCACTATTTAGACTACCCATCTCTTTGGCTGAGCCTGTAACAACTTGACCTCCACTATTTAGACTACCCACCTCTTTGGCTAAGCCTGTAACAACTTGACCTCCACTATTTAGACTACCCACCTCTTTGGCTAAGCCTGTATTAACTTGACCTCCACTATTTAGACTACCCATCTCTTTGGCTGAGCCTGTAACAACTTGACCTCCACTTTTTAGACTACCCACCTCTTTGGCTGAGCCTGTAACAACTTGACCTCCACTATTTAGACTACCCACCTCTTTGGCTAAGCCTGTAACAACTTGACCTCCACTATTTAGACTACCCACCTCTTTGGCTAAGCCTGTATTAACTTGACCTCCACTATTTAGACTACCCATCTCTTTGGCTAAGCCTGTAACAACTTGACCTCCACTTTTTAGACTACCCATCTCTTTGGCTGAGCCTGTAACAACTTGACCTCCACTTTTTAGACTACCCATCTCTTTGGCTGAGCCTGTAACAACTTGACCTCCACTATTTAGACTACCCACCTCTTTGGCTGAGCCTGTAACAACTTGACCTCCACTATTTAGACTACCCACCTCTTTGGCTAAGCCTGTATTAACTTGACCTCCACTATTTAGACTACCCACCTCTTTGGCTGAGCCTGTATTAACTTGACCTCCACTATTTAGACTACCCATCTCTTTGGCTGAGCCTGTAACAACTTGACCTCCACTATTTAGACTACCCACGTCTTTGGCTAAGCCTGTATTAACTTGACCTCCACTATTTAGACTACCCATCTCTTTGGCTAAGCCTGTAACAACTTGACCTCCACTTTTTAGACTACCCATCTCTTTGGCTGAGCCTGTAACAACTTGACCTCCACTTTTTAGACTACCCATCTCTTTGGCTGAGCCTGTAACAACTTGACCTCCACTTTTTAGACTACCCATCTCTTTGGCTGAGCCTGTAACAACTTGACCTCCACTATTTAGACTACCCACCTCTTTGGCTGAGCCTGTATTAACTTGACCTCCACTATTTAGACTACCCATCTCTTTGGCTGAGCCTGTAACAACTTGACCTCCACTATTTAGACTACCCACCTCCTTGGCTGAGCCTGTATTAACTTGACCTCCACTATTTAGACTACCCATCTCTTTGGCTAAGCCTGTAACAACTTGACCTCCACTTTTTAGACTACCCATCTCTTTGGCTGAGCCTGTAACAACTTGACCTCCACTTTTTAGACTACCCATCTCTTTGGCTGAGCCTGTAACAACTTGACCTCCACTTTTTAGACTACCCATCTCTTTGGCTGAGCCTGTAACAACTTGACCTCCACTATTTAGACTACCCATCTCTTTGGCTGAGCCTGTATTAACTTGACCTCCACTATTTAGACTACCCATCTCTTTGGCTGAGCCTGTAACAACTTGACCTCCACTATTTAGACTACCCACCTCTTTGGCTAAGCCTGTATTAACTTGACCTCCACTATTTAGACTACCCATCTCTTTGGCTAAGCCTGTAACAACTTGACCTCCACTTTTTAGACTACCCATCTCTTTGGCTGAGCCTGTAACAACTTGACCTCCACTTTTTAGACTACCCATCTCTTTGGCTGAGCCTGTAACAACTTGACCTCCACTTTTTAGACTACCCACCTCTTTGGCTAAGCCTGTATTAACTTGACCTCCACTATTTAGACTACCCACCTCTTTGGCTGAGCCTGTAACAACAACTTGACCTCCACTTTTTAGACTACCCACCCCCTTGGCTAAGCCTGTAACAACAACCTGACCTCCACTTTTTAGGCTACCCATCTCTTTGGCCGAGCCTATAACATCTTGACCTCCACTATTTAGACTACCCACCTCCTTGGCTGAGCCTTAACAACATGACCTCCACTTTTTAGACTACCCACCCCCTTGGCTGAGCCTTTAACAGCTTGACCTCCACTATTTAGACTACCTACCTTCTTGGCTGAGCCTGTAACAACAACTTGACCTCCACTTTTTAGACTACCCACCTCCTTGGCTGAGCCTGTAACAGCTTAACCTCCTGAGTCTACCAAACATCTTCCTCTGATCAGCGTTCATCATTTTGTACCAGGAGCTCCTTGTCTCCAACAAAGGGATGCTACAACTGACCATGAAACAAACAGCAGCAAAAGAACTGGCGTCCCTCCAAGATATCTGTCTCTGCAATCATAAAAAGCCATTGTTTACAACTATTTATCAATGTTCTGCATTTAAATATTCTCTAACAAATCTGCCTCAAGTCCAGTTTTTAGCTCACCTGAGCCAAAGGCTCAAGTGAGCTTTTCTGAACAAAATTTGTCCGTTGTCTGTCGTCGTTGTTGTTGGCATTGTCGTAAACTTTTCACAATTTCATCTTCTTCTCCAGAACTACTGGGCCAAATTCAACTAAACTTGGCTAAGAGTATACTTGGGTGAAGGGGATTCAAGTTTGTTCAAATGAAGGGCCTTGCCTTCTTCCAAGGGGAGATAATTATGAATTCATGAAAAATTAATGGCATCATTTAAAAATCTTCTTCTCGAGAACCACTGTGCTTGAAAATATGAAACTTATGTGGCATCATTGTGAGGTAGTATAGATTCAAGTTTGTTCATTGCATGACCCCAGGGTACAGTGGGGCCACAATGGGTGATCAATGTTTTACATAGGAATACATAGGAAAAATCTTTAAAAATCTCAAGAACAGCAAAGCCTTGATTGGTCATATTTATATGCAAGCATCCTCAGGTAGTGTAGATTCAAGTTTGTTCAAATCATGACCCCTGGGGGTAGGGTGGGGCAACAATTGGGGGATCAAAGTTTTAGATAGGAATGCATAGGAAAAATCAGCAACAGCCATTTTGTGTCATATTCATTCAAAAGCATCCTTAGTAAGTGTAGATTCAAGTAAGTTCAAATCATACCCCCCCTCCCCCTCCCCCCCCCCACACACACTCTTTTATATTTAAACTTTTCAAGACTGAACTGACTTCTGCTTTTTCCTAGCCAAAGTGCTCAGGTGAGTGATGTGGCCCCTGGGTCTCTTGTTTATTATAAAAACCACTATGTGAAATACATATAAAATCATATATTTACTCATTTCATTGATACTGTAGACTGAACTAGTCTGAATTACATCCTCCAACTTAGCATATACATTGTTAGTTACTTATCAACAAGGATAAAAAAAAGTACATAATGGATGTAAATGTGTTTAATTAAAAAGAGACTGAGTCCCTGTAGATATTTTTTAATCCCATGCATTACGTACCTTTTCAGCTCTTTTGTATAACATCAATCCAAACAGAAAGTAGAGCTGACCCTGAACCTCCTTAAGGAAGGCCTGCCAATCAGGCTTTGTGGATGATAGCAGTGAAGCACTGAACAGATTCTGATCCAGTCTGTTACAAACACAGTAGATTTTCAAGTACAACTGTATTATTATACTCTACATATCAATTCAACAAAACATGCTCCATACACAGCGAAAGCATCTTCATTATTCCCTAAGATTTGCATCTAATTTTTGCTGCATTATTTTGTATTACCTATTGCCAAAAACATGACATTCTGTATATTAGATTTAGATTCAAGATGCTTACTGATGAAGCAATGACACGCAGGTCATGAGGTCATTTCCTGTCAGCTGACAATATAGAAGGTCAATCAAAACCATTAGTTTCTGGGTCTGGAACCTGGAATCTGTGGACACCTGCTCTTTCTTCTCATAAGCCTACATACAGAGAATCACACACAAATTAATACACATCACCCATAAAACAACTAAAGTGGTTATCTGTACAGTGTGTCTGATAAAAGCTTAACTTTATGTAGATTCCATGTGTCTGAAATGCCTCATCTAAACAACTCATAAAATATCTTGCAAAATTATTCAATCAATGGTACATGTAGAACTTAGGAGTGCAACGATAAACCGTTTGACGGTATATTGCGGTATATTTTTCCACGGTTCAATTCACGATACACTAAACTGATACCGCGGTTCAGTTCAATCAGTCCAGAATTATCCGAATCGTCCATTTTGTTTCCTTGTTTACAATTTCAAAATGGCTTCCGCGGAAAACGTGGGGTCTACGTAACACATTAACGGCAGTTAAACTCATCTCCAGCATCTTACAGACCTCAGATTTAACACGGAGAAGGACTTTATGTGATTAAAAGTTAAAGATGTTAAGACAAAAGATAAACCCTTTAGATCTAAACATATTCTTTGGTTATACAAGATATCTCATCACGCGTGTATTTCAATGAAAATTCGCTGTCTTGTTGACTAAAACGTGTTAACACGAGAAATATAACAACTGGTTTTCTACGTAAATAAAAGGAATAAAAGAATGAATGTCTTCCTTTTTCATTCCAATTTAAAAGGAAGATTTATTAGGAAAGGTCCCTGTAGTTCCATGTAAATGTTCACCACTGTTTTAGAATATTGTCACAACTCAAAGATCTACCTATCAATCTAGTTCAAGTTAACAAAATGATATTTTAACTATTATCAAAAATATGAATATTTGATATAACCCTGTCTAGTTTAAAAAAAATATGATGACAAACTTTTTAACCTCGTCATGTATCGTGATACGTATAGTATCGTGAACTGAATACCGTGATACGTATTGTATCGCAAGGTTAGTGTATCGTTGCACCCCTAATATTAGAACTCTTTATATAAATGTGACATATTCTTTAGTGGTAGATTTAAATGTTGTTCTTTTCTAGATTACAATCTTTACTTCAAACACTTTGATGACCGTCTCTAACCACTCCCTCTGCCCAAGAAACTTGTTGAACTTTGTCGGATCTGTACAGTATCTGTAAGCATCTCTCAGTGTCTTCTCTGACTGAAGATAGACTTCCAGTAGCTTACTGTGTAACGTTACATCATCCTGATTCTTATTCTGAAGGTAAAAAAAAACAGAAAAAGGTCATTTGAAAATAAACATGTACAATGTGTGTACAGGTAGGCTACACTGACCTCATTATAAAACATAGGTAATCAAGGATTACAAAGCTCACCTCGACAGAGTTATGTATAAGTAAGGCAAAGTCTCACACCAAATAAATGTTCTGCCAATCCAGTAGTGTGCATCCCTAGATATAACATTTATGTATACAGAAATTTGGTCCAGGTAGGATCTATAGATACTTTAAAATGGACTTTATCTAAAAGCGTTAACTGTCCAATCACCCTGAAAATTTTGGTGAGATCCAGCAGGTATGGCTTCCAGTAATTTTCGAATGAACTTGATAAAAAAAAAAATTAATCTGTTCACTCATCCCTAAAATGTAGGTCAGATCTAGTATCTGAAGTTGATTTGGAAGTATACATACCTAGACGAATGTTTGGTCACCATATAACTTACAGTCACTTAGGGATGAACCTGCTCCAAAAACTTTAACCTGGTCACTCATCCAGAAAATATAGGTCAGCTCCAGCATCTGAAGGCAATGTGGAAGAGTGCATTCCTAGATGCATCATCTAAGCAAGTTTGGTTCAGGTAGGACTTACTGTTACTTTGGAATAAAACCTTCCCCTAAAACTTGAACCTGCTCCTAAAACTTTAGCCTGGTCTCTCATTCAGGAAATGTAGGTCAGATCCTGCATCCAACATAGGCCAGGTAGTGTACATCCAATGATGCATGATCCATGCAAGTTTAGTCCAGGTAGGGTTTATGTTACTTGGGAATAAGACATGATTTTGAAACTTTAACTGGGATGCCCATGCTAATGCTGATCCCAGGGGTAAAGCATAAGCTCATCTTGACTTCAAGGTGAGCTAAAAATATCACTAAAATTGTCATGAAGATATTGAAAGTTTTAATGGACATTTGATCCAACAGATTATTCAATTTTTTATTTATAAATTTTAAACCCATGACTCAGGTGAGCTGATAATTAATTCCATGATAAATCTGCTTCAAAAATGTATTGCTCTATTTCTACACTACCAAATGAGGGTGCAAAAACTCACAATTTCTGTCAGATAGAATTTCTCCATGTCTTTTACATCACCATCTCCCCTGGATATGACTCTCTCCTGTAAAGTGACAGTACTGCCATTCACAGTATTTACAGTATTACATTGCCCACATTCACAGTATTACAGTACCAACATTTACAATATTACAGTACCCGCATTTATAGTATTACAGTACCCACATTTATAGTATCATAGTAACCACATTTACAGTATTACAGTGCCAACATTTACAGTATTACAGTACCCACATTTACAGCATTACAGTATCCACATTTATAGTATTACAGTACCCACATTTACAATATTACAGTACCCACATTTACAGTATAACAGTACCCACTTTACAATATAACAGTACCCACATTTACAGTACCCACTTTACAGTATTACAATACCCACATTTACAGTATTACAGTACCCACATTTACAGTATTACAGTACCCACATGTACAGTATTACAGTACCCATATTTACAATATTACAGTATCCACATGTACAGTATTACAGTACCCACATTTACAGTTTAATCAGAATATACAGACAAAACTATATTTCCAGTATAACTGGAATCAAGTGACACCCCCTTCCCACCAACACTTAGTATACCTTCTTTTATTATTATAGTATTGAGAATCAAGTGACAACACTGCTTATAAACAAACTTACCTTTAGTCTGAAAATAGCAGGATGGCTTGGATAGAAACGCTCTCCTCTCTTATACCAGTCCTGGAATAAATATAAGTCATTATCTAAAGTTCCAGTAAAATAAAATGTATATTTTATTACAATAAAATATACATGTTTATTTTATTTTAATGTTTACAACACCAATTACAGTACAACAAGCTTATAGCAAACACACTCATAATGAATTGACACTCGTAGTGAAGTGATCTTCATTCCCCTTGACTTTAAAATATATTGAATTAACAGATATAATGAATAATGCTTATAAAAAAGCAAAATTATTCGTCTCTGGCACTTTGTTATAAGTATGTTTTACTATATGAAACTGAGACACACCATCCAAAACTGAGGCACTCCCCCCATTCCAGAAAGGTTATATTAATCTGTACTGCTTGTGGCTCATTTCTTATAATATACCAATATAAGGGAGGAGGCATTGTCAGATTACCACATTTAATCATTTCAAAGTAGTACACTTTTATCAGGCCATGTATATAAGCCTTCTATGGGTCTTCATTTTTTGTAGAGACTAGTGCCTAAGTGCTAACACTACCAGCAGTAGTCATGATAAATGTACTGAACATTAGAATGTCAGCCATTTTGCTACATGCACTAAGGTATGCTGATGCACTTGATCAATATCAATATGACCATTAAGTCTACTGTGTTACAATTAAATCATATAACTAGTATCCTACTGTATTTCAATTAAAAAGTCTTAACTCTTCGTTTTTTTACTTTTCAAGTAAAATGAACAATCATATTTACACATAATTCACAGTACCTGTCAGACTAAAGTATTCTTTCTGCATTATTAAAGATATGAAATCATATTTTTAAAATGATATATTTAAATTTATTATTCAAATAATTCAAGTAAACATACTTTTAAGACTTGAGGATCTTCATCTTTAACTTGATCGTAGAGCTCACAAACTGAAGATAAGAGTATATATTCAATGTACATAATAACTTGTACCTAAATACATGCAGTGTAGTTTTCATCCACATATAAAACTTAATTTCAAAGATCTGAAGAATATTACAATTCAAAATTGGACATCACTAAAGTTTAAGTGTCATCTCACAGGGCCTTCAAAATCTGCCGGTACCCAGTACTTTTACCCGGCTGAAATCATGATTGTACTGGCAAAATATTTGTTTTAAAAAAAAAATGAAATCATTTAATAAATTCTTATTAATTTTATTTAACATTTACTCACCTAGACAAAATAATTTAGACAAAAGATTTTGATCTGGGAGTCAGACCTAATGCTGATTTTACCTTTTGTTGCCAATTTCTAATCAAAGTAAGAGTTAATTTTGCACACAAACTTTTTTCTTACTTTTCAAAATCAATGCTTTTTGTTTCCCATCCAGTTCCAGTGACCTTTAAAGAGTAAAAAAAAAAAAAAAAAAGACTCAATCCTCAACTTTCTGCATAGAAAAAATTCAATTAAAATTCTCTGGAGCCTTTAAAATTAATTTTGCCATCACTGCAAAAATTATTAAGTGAATTTCAAAAAACAAAACAAAAAAACCCCAGACAATTCTGTTTTGCTAAGTGTTGTAATGAGTAACCTTTTGTAAGCTTCAATGGCTCGGTCAGGGTGATGACATGCTTCTTCAATCTGGCCCAAGAGTTTGTGTGTCTGGGGAATTCGGGGTCTAATAGCCATGTGTTCCTCCACATACCTGAAAGACATTAATAATTTTAACAGATAATCATACACAGATCAGAAAATGTACAGCTTTATATATCAATAATTTTTGTTTGTATTCTAGCCTCTGATTGGTTAATACCCAAAAAGGAACACAAATTATTTCTGTATAACCTGGTTTGGTATGGGGACACACCCCATGACAACCAGCTGAATCATCTGTATCCACGCAATCCTCTCATTCCAGTCCTCAGAATTCATGGAAAATTCCAGATTTACTAAATGTCCCTTTAACTTCAAAGATAACTCGATCTTACCACATGTAAACAAACAACATGGCTGCTAGGTCTATGTATCAGTTTTTACCTCCCATAGCTTCCCATCACTTCCGTTACTATGGTTGTATTATTGAGCGGCAAATTTGAAATAATAAAAGGCGATGAAATTTTACACCCATGGTTGTCTGATGATTTTAAAATTAAATTATAAGGAATGACTCTAATTCTTGGCCAAATTATTTGAATATAACCTGGTTTGGATCAGTTTACGCTGTTTTATAATCCGCTTCGCGTATTATAAAGCGTAAACTGACCCAAACCAGGTTATACTCGACTAATTTGGCCAAGAATTAGAGTCATTCCTAAAATAACTTTAAAGCTATATTGTAAAATCAAAAAAATATTTTCATACTGAAACTTTTTTTCATAAATACTTTTTTTAAAAGGTTTTTATTAAATTAATTAAACTGGTTCTTTTTAAAAGGTATTAATTAAAAATATTTCCCTTATTTCTGCTACATGCACTTAACCATTAATAATAAGCTATACATGTATGCTTAATAAACTACAATGAAAATTTTCAACATAAAAATTTTTTTAATTAGATTATCACCTAATATCGCTTCTCAATTGAGTGGGTATTCAATATTCATTGTGTCATGATAGCACTGTCATTGCTTAGCAAAATCACTAGTAAAGTACATATATCTTTTACTTACAGTGATCTTAATAAGACGAAGATAAAATTGGAATTTTAACTGTTTTATTGATTCATATAATGTAACAATAATGTCATTATTGAATATGAGAATGTCAATATGGCCTAGCGATCTTGCATAATGAAGTCCTTACTTATTACTTAACACACACAAAGGTCATTATGTTTCGTTTCTGAAAAGCTCCAGATAAGGTGCAAAAATTGCAGAAATATGCTTTAAAATTCAAAAATATGCATTAAAATTTTAAATTAGGCCTACAATTATGCATTAACAATTGTAAATAAGCATTACACTTCGAAAGTAGTGCATTCAACGGATTGTGTCTTAACTGAACACTTTGAATTCCTTATTCCAGAAAGTCCAAGTAGAACCAAGGAGTTAAACTGGTAAACACCCCTGTGGCATAAAAAATATAAATATTAGCACCTTTTTGCCTTGTCGTACTCCTTGACTTCGTAATACAGCAGACCAATCTGATACCCTCTAGCAGCTCTCTGGAAAAATTAGAAAACATATTACCAGTGTCAATGCTAAGTTACCCTGCCTTCATTTTATTGCAGCTGTGCAAAGATGACTTTAATAGCGAGTGCAGCTAGTGGCACAACGCGCCCCTTATGAAGCGAGCTTAATAGACTAATGTAAAAACAGAGAAAATTCGAATCTGTGCAACCTTACCAGGATGATACTTAATGGCAAATAAAGTCCCACAGTTAGCATGTATTTTGAAAGATTTAGTTCTTGCAGAGACCTTATTAATAAGTGAAACAAAAAATAATTGCATCTACTATGCCCTTCATTATAAAATTGCAAAAGGCCTATTTACACTCAGTTACAGAAATGCAACTTACATAGGAAGTCATGTGATGTCACAGCCTAGACTGTCTCATGCAGTCTGAAGTTTGAAGAGGCAGATCAAAGTTTAAAGTGTAAGCTATATTAAGGTTTTTTTATGGTATGTACAACTGCACTCGCCCCAATAGTGGCACCGTAAAACATATTATTCTAAAATGTCATATCCCTTTGTTCAGTTCAATAACAATTTTTCCAGTATAAGAGTTCCACTTTGTATATATCATAAAACTTCTAAGACAATTCTTTTACCATTTCATTATTGGCACCGTGTGGGGCAACAGAATAGATTGCACTTTTATTTATGAATTTGAGTGATGATCAGTTCTACGTCCTTATCTTTTAAATGAACTCTTAGATAATTCAACAAGCTGGAGCAATTTCCTTCGTATTTAGGAAATTTTGAATTCACACATATCGACGGTCTATATAAATTTAAATTCTACACTGTAAATATAGATCTATTAGATTTATGAGCTCTAGTCTTCTACAATCTTCAAATGATCTTCATAAAAGCAATAAATATACTTTTTTATAATAGAAAGGACCGACCGATTATGTACTAGGACGTGCATAACTTGCACAAACCTTTCCAACTTTTTCTAATGAATTCATTAAACAGATCTAAAATACACACTGTTAATTAAATTTTTTAAAAGACAAACACACAAATTGTGTGAATAGGTTAAGGCGCAATATTATGAATATCGTGGATACTAATACCCCCTTCTTACCCCATATTAAAATTTGAAATGAAGAACATAAAGATACTAACTTCAGATTCTTGTATGCGGTCAACAAATCGGTCGACATCTTCTTTACAACGATTTGTTCCGCGTGAACGTTGAGGGGTTGATATCGACATTGTGAATTTTCGCTTTCGCTTCAACTTTTCGCGAACTCCATGCCGGTAAATTTTGACCAATCAGATTCGCCGTAAGGAAATTAAACGAAGGGAATTTTTTCGGAACTTCTTTTGACTCTTCCTTACTTTGAACTTTTACATTCACTGCGCAAACTCGCATCATCCTTCTGCTTCCGGATTAGGATCGATTGCTGAAAACATTTCTTAATTAATTCATGTGTAAAAAAGGTAAATTATGAATTCAGCGACAGTGCCCATGCCGGTAGAAGATGTACATGGAGACGGTAGATGGATGAGCCAGGTGTAAAATTTATGACAATCATTTTTTTATATGCTGCAATTAATTATATGATAAGAAAAAAAAATCATGATCACACGCTGCAACAATATTGCTTGATTTCACTGAGTTATAGGCGTAGAAGTCACATACGCTCCAGATACGTAGACATTGTGTCACCTCTGTTTCTTAATTTCGAAGTGGGGTTGTTTTTGGGAAAAATATAAATAATATGTTGACCGTGCGACCGTTAGGGCGAACGCAGATACCTTTCAGTTTTCATTACTTAGGTCGGGCTCGTCCAACCACACGTGACATTTGCTATGTCTAGAATCTGACGTCATATGACGTCGTATGTATGTTGCATTAGCCTACCAAAACGAAATGTGAACAGTGCTAATTTTAAACAAGAACTTTTATTCTACTGTTTGTCTGTATGTATCCATTAAATCGAGGTGTTTTTATTTTTTGGTGAATTTTATTGCTACCACGAGAATGTAGTTTCTGATGAGATGCAATTCGCTAAGCATTATGGGACCACAGGTAACTGGAAAAAAATTCATTTGGATCAATGTGCAAAGTCCGAATTTTCTCTTTGCCCAGGCGTTGCTTTAAGAGCTCGCTGCACTCGCTATTAAACACAGTTGACATCAAAAATTGAATTTGATGTTTCTGTTTGCTTTTAACATGTTTAAGAAGATATCGTGTTGATTTTACTCAGTTTTCTTATTTAAATGAAACAGGAAAAAATGGCTTTGCAACCCCTGTATAAGCCATTTATAGAGAGAGGAACGTGAAAGTTGAGAAGTTTTAATAGCTTAGTTGGCATATTCCTCAAGAGTTCAGTGGACCTAGGTTCAAGTCCTGGCACTGTCTCCCTTCCTTTTACAACTACAGTAAGATATGCTTATAATGAAGTGCCAGGGATGACCAATTCTGCTTTGTTAAAGGCATAATTCATTATTATCCGTTAAGTTTTCAATATATATTAAAGTCACAGGGAATGAAAATCACTTCTCTTCAAGCATCAATTCATTATAAGCGTGTTCACTATAAGCATGTTTTACTGTACTGAGCCCCACATTATACATTTGGAATTGCTAAGCTCGCCCAAAAGTCAGGGAGAGCTTAATTATGCTCTACTGGGATGAAAGTTGTTTGGATTGCAGTGATACTATCTGATTTTGGATGATTGAAGTTTTTGGAGCAAGAGTATTATCACGTAACTTATGATCTAACATGTATTCTATAAGCCCATCTGGATCAAATTTGCAATAACCATTTATTTGGATGCAATCTTCCTTTGGTTCCTGAATCTGATCTCCTGGTTAATGGCCAGGATAAAATATTCGGACCATTTCCAGTGTAGTAAAAAGCTCTTCCTGGACAAAACTTGCATGGATGATGCATGTCTTTAGATGCATACTAAACACCTTGCTGAAGATGCTGCAGATGAAATATTTTTTAGCTGTTTTCTTAATGGCCTATAATGATGAACTTTAATTACTAATGGACCTCATTGAAAATTCATTTGTTGTAAGACTGGCATTTTTATGGAAACATATGTTGAGGCAATCTTTGTAATATTTGATAATGTTTGTTTGATTTTTATAAAATTTTTCTTTAATCATGTTAATAGTGATTTAAACTAGTTTGTAGACATGCAGGATTAAAATGAACAACTTTATGAAAGTGTGACGTTTTTACGGGCATCTGTCTATGATAAGTGGTTTAACAATATCTCCTCGCCCCTGCGACACAAAATATTGTAGGTCACATGCTTTGAAATAGGAACTCTAGATCCTTATACAGGGATCACCTTGGGCTGCGCCCTTGCGCCATTGGCGCACAACATTTGTAAATGACGCACTAAAAATTTAGATAGGGGTCGGTCTGGCGCATGTCTTACAGATATGGCATTATAAGGTGCAAAAGTGTGGGCCCAAATTTTTATCTTGGTACATTTTACAACCATTCAGTGAATCTTCTTTCAACCCGACCGATCGTATGACGTACCTAAACAAACTTTTATGTTCTTGGTGTCTCACTCAACCAGACTCTTTCTAGTCGTGTGTGTTCTTTACAACACCAGAGTATCTGGTTGATGGAGACTTAAATGCCTTAACAGGGAATCGTACATGGAATTTTTCCTTCATTTAGATTACACAAGAATCTTTTTACCAAATACTGAATATAAAGCGTCATTTATTGTATTTACAATGTAATGATATAATTATCAACATATTAAAGATATATTCTAATATGTAATAATAAGTTTAGAAAAGTTTTGATTATTAATTCCAAAACAAAAATCGTACAAGTTACTAATTTTGCATACACACGCTCGCTCGAAATTCCACCAAGATCGGACCAACAGACCTGAAACAAAGGAAGCTTACATTTTTTTTACTACAAATAAAATTTCGTAAACTCTTTCATCGCCAGAGCTAAAAGTAGATCATTCTATCAATGTGACTTAAACTGCTTAAAATTCAATGTTAGATATTTCAAAAGTTACTTGAATGATATTAATTTTACAAATTTCTCTAAATAAAATTTCTCAAATTTCAGTTATTATACCCCCCGCAAATGAAGTTTAGGGGGGTATATTGGGATCAGCTTGTCTGTCTGTCTGTCTGTTCGTCTGTCTGTAGACGAGATTTTGTCCGAACCATTTCTTGGAAACTGTTGCAAGGGTTTGTCTGAAAATTTGTACACTTATTATTCACCATATGAAGGTGTGCACCTGGTATTTTCATCATGATTGGATAATTTTTTTGCATTTTACAGGTGTTTTTTTTTTCAATTTTATTATGTGGTTTTGTCCGGATCTGTTCCCAGAGACTATTGCATAGATTTGTATTAAAATTTGTACACTTATTATTTACCATATGAAGATGTGCACCTGGTATTTTCAACATTATTTGATGATTTTTCTGCATTTTACAGGTGTGTTTTTTTTTTTTCATTTTTATTGACCTAGTCTTTTCGGGTTCATGTCTAAGGTTTGAGACATAGAATCTAGAACATCTGTACAAAAATGTGAAAGCTTAAAACTACTCATTAGAACTAAAAAAAAAAAATCACGAAGTATTAAAAACAGTTTTTACATTACACAACAGATAGTGTAAATCCATTTGTCCTTTGGGAGTAATGAGTGGACATGCATCCAGTTAAAGATTAATTTATGAGTTCAGTGTGGGAAGCTGTTAGGGCATCTGTGATCAAGCAGGTCTTATCTATATCTCCTGGGAAATGGGCAGAAAGAAATAAAGATCTCTGTTGTCTAAGTCTCTTAATTGTAATTTATGTCTGTCAACAAAATACATAGTTACTGGAACCAGCCATTTATTTTTAAAATGAGTTTGATATAAAAGGTAATAAGATCAATTTGATTTTGTATAATTAATTATGATATTTTTTTTTCAACAATTAATTTGTAGAGTGTCATGTCTCACAAAGATGACAGATAGTTGCAAACTATTTTTTCAATGTAATAAAAAGCACTAATTATTAGTATTGATGTTTTATTAGGCTGTACCTTAGTTTCATTCATTAAAAAAATATAATGAGTAATTAAAATTTCACTCTAAATGTTTAAGCAAATTGTGAACACCTCTCACATCTAGAAAACATTAGTAATTTGGTACCTTCTCTGAAAAAACCCAGCAGGGGTATTTGTCCCTTTTGGACAGTTCTAGTTTGCATATTTTTCTCAGACTTCTTTGAATATGAAATAGTCCCTACCATTTGAACAAAATTTAATTTCTGAAACTGCACCAGGTCTGAGAATTGATTTACGTTATTTAAGCTGTTAAGTAGAGTATTTGCATCAAAGTTTGCATCCTTTAGCTCTGTATTAGCAACAACTTTCAAGAATTAAACCAAACAAAAAAAAAATCAAAAGGGGTAAGGAAGTTAGTATTCTGTTTATCAATACTCTGTAGTATGAAGTCTTTTAAGAAATTCTCCAATGACATTTTTTTAGAACTGTGTACTAGAGAATCCTTATGAAAATAAAAAGTATTTCTATTTTACATTTTAATTTAAAAAAAACCTGAAATTGGTTGTTTCAGAAATGGCAATTAAAATCCCTCAGAGACCTATTAATTCACTTGAAATTCACCACAAAATAGCATAAAAATCAATTCCCCCCCCCCTGGACCCCCTACCGGGGCATTGCCCCTGGACCCTAATGGGGGCCTAACACGGCCCCCATATCCCCGGCGATTGGCCCATGGATTTTAATGTTGATGGGCCATAGGCCCATCAACATTAAAATCCAGAGTGATCCCTGCTTATAGATCTAATACAGACGCAACACCAGAGTTTGTTTCAACGAGTTTATTAACAAATATCCAATGACATTTTACATATCAAGTACAAGCTATATATTTTTTCATTATCTCTCTCTCCTTATATACCCTGTCTGACACCTAACATCATTAGGGCACCTGTTAGGGCATTAGGCTCCATAGTTAGGGCACCAGTTAGGGCATTAGGCTCCATGGTTGGGGCACCGGTTAGGACATTAGGCTCCAAGTATTAGGACCACTGCACCATCGTTAGGTGTGAAGACACCTAATACATTTAGGGCATCTGTTAAGCGCAATAATTCGGGCACTAATTAGATTCCAAGCTTAGGGCACTAATCAGGCTCCGTGGTTAGGGCCTTTTATACATTCAATAAAAATTCTATTTATCTTTTATTTATAACAAATATAACAAAAACAAAAACATTGCAAAAGTAGGTTTATTAAACACTGCAGAATTCATTTAAAACATGAGAAGAAAACTTAACATATCCATATCTCATTGCGAAGAACAAAGTTGAAAAATACTGTATACTAGGAAATTTTTGCCCGCATTTTATTTTTTGTCCTTTAGCCCTTGTTTCAAGTGGGTGAATTAAAAATGGGCAAATTCAAAGAAGACAAAGTTATCTGTTGTTGTGTCTGGGTGAATTTAAAACAAGATAAAATCATTTGCAAGTATGATAGGGTGAGAATTACACAGGTTGGAAATATCCCTATATACAATATTCAAATGCTGACTTTCAGTATTCAATTCCTTACTAATTATAATGTTTTAAAATGTTACACATTTTCAGCAAAATCTGACAAAAGATTACATATTTTTAGTATGTAGTACGGTTTTGTCCGGATCTGTTCCCAGAGACTATTGCATAGATTTGTATTAAAATTTGTACACTTATTATTTACCATATGAAGATGTGCACCTGGTATTTTCAACATTATTTGATGATTTTTCTGCATTTTACAGGTGTGTTTTTTTTTTTTCATTTTTATTGACCTAGTCTTTTCGGGTTCATGTCTAAGGTTTGAGACATAGAATCTAGAACATCTGTACAAAAATGTGAAAGCTTAAAACTACTCATTAGAACTAAAAAAAAAAATCACGAAGTATTAAAAACAGTTTTTACATTACACAACAGATAGTGTAAATCCATTTGTCCTTTGGGAGTAATGAGTGGACATGCATCCAGTTAAAGATTAATTAATGAGTTAGTGTGGGAAGCTGTTAGGGCATCTGTGATCAAGCAGGTCTTATCTATATCTCCTGGGAAATGGGCAGAAAGAAATAAAGATCTCTGTTGTCTAAGTCTCTTAATTGTAATTTATGTCTGTCAACAAAATACATAGTTACTGGAACCAGCCATTTATTTTTAAAATGAGTTTGATATAAAAGGTAATAAGATCAATTTGATTTTGTATAATTAATTATGATATTTTTTTTTCAACAATTAATTTGTAGAGTGTCATGTCTCACAAAGATGACAGATAGTTGCAAACTATTTTTTCAATGTAATAAAAAGCACTAATTATTAGTATTGATGTTTTATTAGGCTGTACCTTAGTTTCATTCATTAAAAAAATATAATGAGTAATTAAAATTTCACTCTAAATGTTTAAGCAAATTGTGAACACCTCTCACATCTAGAAAACATTAGTAATTTGGTACCTTCTCTGAAAAAACCCAGCAGGGGTATTTGTCCCTTTTGGACAGTTCTAGTTTGCATATTTTTCTCAGACTTCTTTGAATATGAAATAGTCCCTACCATTTGAACAAAATTTAATTTCTGAAACTGCACCAGGTCTGAGAATTGATTTACGTTATTTAAGCTGTTAAGTAGAGTATTTGCATCAAAGTTTGCATCCTTTAGCTCTGTATTAGCAACAACTTTCAAGAATTAAACCAAACAAAAAAAAATCAAAAGGGGTAAGGAAGTTAGTATTCTGTTTATCAATACTCTGTAGTATGAAGTCTTTTAAGAAATTCTCCAATGACATTTTTTAGAACTGTGTACTAGAGAATCCTTATGAAAATAAAAAGTATTTCTATTTTACATTTTAATTTAAAAAAAACCTGAAATTGGTTGTTTCAGAAATGGCAATTAAAATCCCTCAGAGACCTATTAATTCACTTGAAATTCACCACAAAATAGCATAAAAATCAATTCCCCCCCCCCCTGGACCCCCTACCGGGGCATTGCCCCTGGACCCTAATGGGGGCCTAACACGGCCCCCATATCCCCGGCGATTGGCCCATGGATTTTAATGTTGATGGGCCATAGGCCCATCAACATTAAAATCCAGAGTGATCCCTGCTTATAGATCTAATACAGACGCAACACCAGAGTTTGTTTCAACGAGTTTATTAACAAATATCCAATGACATTTTACATATCAAGTACAAGCTATATATTTTTTCATTATCTCTCTCTCCTTATATACCCTGTCTGACACCTAACATCATTAGGGCACCTGTTAGGGCATTAGGCTCCATAGTTAGGGCACCAGTTAGGGCATAAGGCTCCATGGTTGGGGCACTGGTTAGGACATTAGGCTCCAAGTATTAGGACCACTGCACCATCGTTAGGTGTGAAGACACCTAATACATTTAGGGCATCTGTTAAGCGCAATAATTCGGGCACTAATTAGATTCCAAGCTTAGGGCACTAATCAGGCTCCGTGGTTAGGGCCTTTTATACATTCAATAAAAATTCTATTTATCTTTTATTTATAACAAATATAACAAAAACAAAAACATTGCAAAAGTAGGTTTATTAAACACTGCAGAATTCATTTAAAACATGAGAAGAAAACTTAACATATCCATATCTCATTGCGAAGAACAAAGTTGAAAAATACTGTATACTAGGAAATTTTTGCCCGCATTTTATTTTTTGTCCTTTAGCCCTTGTTTCAAGTGGGTGAATTAAAAATGGGCAAATTCAAAGAAGACAAAGTTATCTGTTGTTGTGTCTGGGTGAATTTAAAACAAGATAAAATCATTTGCAAGTATGATAGGGTGAGAATTACACAGGTTGGAAATATCCCTATATACAATATTCAAATGCTGACTTTCAGTATTCAATTCCTTACTAATTATAATGTTTTAAAATGTTACACATTTTCAGCAAAATCTGACAAATGATTACATATTTTTAGTATATAGTCTTAAAGGACTTATCGCATGATCTTTCAAAAATCGTAATTTTATGAAAAATATTATCTACAACCTTGTTTATTAAAATACTGAATACAATAAACGTTATTGAAAGCATATTTTAAGAGATATTAAGAGTTGAAATTCAAATACGGCAATATGCATATTTCAGTCGGATTTCGGCGAAATACTGCTCTGACGTCATAGGCGACAATTCAGTGATAGAGAGATGATAATATGCAAACTATTTACGGAGTTATCAACGACAAATGCAGCTTAATTATGAAAAATGCTGAAAAAAATAATTCCTAGCGTGCTTTTTAATCACTATAGAAACATTAACTGGTTCTAAGGTATAAGGCTTTTGAGATATTTTCGTTTTTTATTCGAAACATTCAGAATCTGTACAGCTCCGATTACGGCAATGTTTCGTGATCGGAAAATTATTTTTCAAGACTGCCATCCTTTACAAAACAGAAGTAAATTAATGTTATGCTAAAAACAAAGAATAACAAAGTTATAAAATATAAAATTTGTAAATCAATTAAGTTAATACATGTGATAAGATGACAAATCAAATTGTGTTGTGATGGCGAGTTTCTTCGTCTTCGCCGCGTCTCCTTCGATATCGTCGCTGCTATTTTTACAATGTTAACAGATTTTTCAGATTTTTTCCTGATGACAATTCTAAAATATAAGGTTGAATATTCAATTTCATATCGATAAAATCAGTGAAATGGTCGTCCACAATGCAGAATATTCATGTTGTATCGCGTATATTTTAGTAAGATTAATTATAGAGCTGATCAGCCATTGTCGCCTTTGACGTCACAGGGTCACGTGATCGCTATCTAATTAACTTAGATTTTTAATTCAGGGGTTTTCATTTGAGTCAATAATTGGTTAATTACCGCAGTTTATCTGCAGCAAAAACACAAAATTTATGAACTGTGGTCATAAGGAACGTTTTACGCTTTTAATTTCATCAAATTTAGAAACATGCGATAAGTCCTTTAACAAATGTTACATATTTTCAGCACAGTCTTAAAATGGTTACATATATTCAGCACAATCTAATAAATACTTACATATTTTCAGCACAATCGCTTCATCTCAGAAGGCCGAGAGAGGGAGCCGGAAGTGTTGTTTGTAGGTGACTCTCTTATACAGAGACTGGCACAAACAAACGTATGTAAAACTTTTTTCAATTTTCTGTACAGCTGTTGCAGTTGCTAAATGTTTTTTTTGGATGATTATGAAATTGAGTACTTAAAAAAACTTGCTTTAAAAAAAAAAATTCACACTGACACATACATGTACAGTCAAACTTCATTGTCTCAAACTTGTTGGGACCGAGAAAAAACTTCCAAGATATCCAAGGATTCTAGATATCGAGGGTTAAATATTTAAAGAATGAGAAATTGGGACTTCCAAATTTCTTCAAGTTATATACATGGTATTTGAGATATCAGTGTTCCAGATACCGAAGTTCAACTGTATATACTTGTATGTTCCTTGTGTTTGATTTTATTTGTAAATCATATATAATTATAATCTATGTAATTTAGATGTTAGTTAGCTTTTTCAAGGTTTTATTTTTAAAACTTTAAAGATTTTTGATAAAGATAATGGCTATTCCCTCTAGTGTGCTTTTTAACAGGTATGGGAGAGCATGTTTGAGCCTCTACACTGTCTGAACTTTGGGATCGGTGGTGACCAGACACAGAATATCTTGTGGAGGTTGATGAATGGAGAGTTAGACACACTAGAAGCCAAGGTAAGATTAATGAATGGAGAGTTAGACGCTGAATGGCCACTGAAAAGTCACTGAAAGCCGCCTTTCAGTTTCAACTGAAACGTCTTGTTTTTTCATGTGCACTGGGCCAATTTCAACCAAACTTGCCACAAAGAATCCTTGAGTGAAGGGGATTGAAGTTTATTCCAATTAATTTCAAGGAGAGATGATTAAGAATTTGTGAAAAATTAATAGCATCTTTTAAAAATCCCCTCATTAACCATTGGCCAGAAAAGATGAAACTTATGTGAAAGCTTTATTATTTGGAGTAGATTCAAGTTTGTTCAAATCATGTTCCCTGGGTGTAGGGCAAGGCAACAATGTGCGATCAAAGTTTTACTCAGGAATACATAGCAAAAATCTTTAAAACTCTTCTTCTGAAGAAACAGGAAAAACATGATTATTCTTATTTATATGGAAGCATTCTCAGGTAGTATAGAACTTTTTGATCATCCTTTATAATTTGAATCTTATTTATTGTTTCAGGTAGTGGTTGTTCTTGCTGGTACAAACAATTACAGTAACACGGCAGAGGAGGTGACAGACGGGATCATGGAAATCATCAACGTCATACAAAACAAACAGAATAGCACACAAATCATTGTCATGGTAACTAGATCATTTACACAATGAATGGTTCACTATGGAATTGAATCTTTGTACAAATCCACAAATCTGCTGCATATATACTAACTAAATAGGGAATTATTGAATTTATAAATTAGAATCCAAGAAAACATGATAAATGATATATGTATACATATACCATCATGATATATTTCTATTTTTCATAAACTATCCAAAATTATATGATTTTGTTTTAGAGACATTAAGTATCATTAGTAAAAGTAATTGTAAAATTTAATTGTAAGTTTAGATAACTGTGCTCACCTGCTGAAGTTATTTTCTATCTGTGCTTATTTCAGTTAAGATGCTTTAAAAAGCTGACAGATTTCCTTTTTACATGTTTCAGGGATTACCACCCCGGGGAGAAAAACCAAACAAACTACGTGAGAAAAATGCAGAAATTAATTTTAATTTGTCACAAAAAATTGAAAACATGCCTAATGTGAGTTTCCTGAATGTAGAAGCATCCATGTTTGTCCGCGAAAATGGTCTCATCAGCCATAACGACATGTACGATTATCTTCATCTAACGAATGCGGGTTATCAAAAACTATGTGAACCTTTATTAGAGGAAATTCAGAACTTACTGCAAGTGTTCATGAAAGTGGAGAACACATCAATGACAATATCTACCACAGCATCTGATGTTGATGATGAAGAAAACTGAACCACAATGGGCTGTTGTGATGTAACTGTTATAAATAGGTGAATGACAATAGAGGGCTTATCATGCTTTCTTCATTATTGTTGTGGCTTAAAAATCTACCCCATGCAAAAAACATCCATTTTGAAACCAAATGTTCAAATAAGTTTTATGCATATATACTGTTATAATATTATTTATCAAAAATGTTCATGAAATAATTAATTTGAAAATTATGAAAGTCTTTGCTCTTACTTTGAGATGAACCATGAAGTACCATAGCAAATTGGCAGTTTACAAGCTGTACTTTTTTCAGTTGGGTTGCTTTTGAAATTTAGTTTGGTGTTCTCATGCAATATAATTCTCACTGTAAAAATTTTATGCATAAAAATCTTAGTTAGAAGCTCTGAAATTGAACCCAAGTTTTCTTTTTTGGAGTAATGAGTGATATTTTATTTTTACTTTGAGAGATTTTAATTCTTAAAATGTGTACTATTTAATCCAAATGTTTCAAAACATACTAGTTATCAGCTTGGTCTTATGGGAAGCATGTATGAATTAATCTACATGTACGATTGTTGGCATTGTACATTTGTGCAATACTATAAACTACACATTATGTACCCTTCATTTGTGTATAGCTGGGTTATCCTTTGTACTCCAATCAGCTGGGGTTCCAAACCCCCCTGAGGTATTATTTTTGACTTGTTGCCACTTGATTTTGTACGTGTTCTACATATTTGTATATATGAAGCAGTATAAAGATATTAACCTTGTCCTTGTCCACATTATAAAGTATCAGAATACAATACTTTATTTAATATAATTATATATATATATATATATATATATGTATTCCGAAATCTTGCCTAATACAGTGTTAACATTAAGTCTCTTTTAGTAAATTTAATTGTAAAAAAAAAATTGTCTAATATATATATCAGAAATGGCATTAGTCAATCAAGTTTCAACTGTATCATGGTCACTGTAACATTTTCTTCTGTTCTACAATGTTTGCTGTGTGTGCTAGATTGTGCTAAATTTTGAAGTCATTTGTGTGAACCAATCTCCTATGATCCAACGTTTACTGTGTGGCTGTGCCATCAGGACTAACATTCCAGATGATGTGCAATATGTTCTAGATTTGATAGAGTCAGGAGTTAGGTTGTTTCATATTTTATCACTGTGTTTCGTTAATACATGTACGTGTTAAAAAAATGGCTTGTTGATGACATGTTTCTGATTTTTTTTTTTAGATTGATATTTTTGATTTTGATGATCTCAGCAGTGTTTTTCCTAATTGTTTATTTACTTATCTCTGATACATGTATAAAAGTTTTTCTGATGTAATACAGACAAATATGGATATAAATACTGGTATTATAGTGTACCTCATTGAATCTGCAAAACAATAGCAATGACATTATCATGATATTAAGAATTATTTGATTTTAGTGAAATTCATGATGGATCTAGAAAGTCAATGATGTTGTCAGTTTGTTTCAATTGGTCTGAGGTCATTAGGATGACATATTGATTGATTGTTGATTTAAGTGGCTCTTGTAAAGCTTTGGTTATTAATGCAATGTTTGTAACACTACCTCTTTCATATATAAGGTTTATCATTTTAAACAATGAATTATCTAGTTAGATGATAACAATCATATAAATGACTCCTAAAAATAATCTTAGTCTAAAAATAATCTATAGTCATCTAAAAATAATGTATAGTCATCTAAAAATAATCTACAGTCATCTAAAAATAATCTATAGTCATCTAAAAACAATGTATAGTCATCTAAAAATAATCTACAGTCATCTAAAAATAATCTATAATCATCTAAAAATAATGTATAGTCATCATCTACCCAATTCCATCACAGAGGGAGAAAATTACTACACAATTTTTTAAGATCATCAGAAATTCTTCTTTGATAGAAAAAAATACAAAATAAAAAAAAAATTATAAAAAATACATTTTGTGCAAACAAAATGAACTGATTATTTAGCAAAACCATACATTCTGTAAGCTTTTCCACAATTATTGGGATATTATGAGATGTAATTTTACTACTTACGTAAGACCATCTTTTAAAAAAAAATTTGCTTACCCTCTCCCAATCTCTGTATGAAAGAACTGGGTCAGTAGGAAGGAGATAAAAATATTACTGAATTTTTAAGGAATTGTCAACATCAATGTCATCATTAACATCATTGCTTAATTTACAAAAATTAAAATTGCAGGTATTGATAAAATGAAAAAAAAATGTTGACAGGACGAGAAAGTTATGGAATGAATAAAAAAATATTTCCTGATCTTTTTAAAGATGCTTTGAGTCGGCCCATTTTTAGTCAGGAGAGAGCAAGGCAAACAGGAAATTTTTTTTTATAGGCAAATATCCAGAAGCATTTGCTGTATTCTGTTTGTCAGATCAGGGTTGTTAAATTACGAAGTAGAGAAATTTGACTTGAATTAATCATGTTTACTGAATACACAACTTTAAGAAATAATGCAGTGTTGTTCCAAATTAGATTGATATAAATGTAAAAGACTATATGCAGTAGTGACCAATTTTGCCCCCAGAATCAAACTTAGATGGAGATATCTGCAATTATGTTCTAAACCAAGGGGATATATGCAGACTTCTGACCATTTGATATTTTCATCAACTATGATGCCATATGTTAGATATGACGTCAGGAAAATGACGTAAATTCAAAATTCCCATGATTTTAAGAGAAAAGGGTGTGTATTACGTTCATATTTTAAGTAAAAGTCACCAAGCGCAGGTCTGCTCCAACTCAGTGTTTTGGTATAATGTGTAGAATGATATTATCAATGAAATATGTGAAAAATGTGTTGGAGCATGTTTGCGCTCTATAAATTATATAGTAAAAATTTAACAAATTTTGTCCTCTTTCTTGAAAATAATGCAAAATCCAAATAGTTTGTGACATCATAGACACAAAATTGCCATTGATCTACTTTGAAACAATAATATTTTTGTTATTAATTCAGATTTTTCATATAATATATACAATTCAGTACATTTCAAGAAGTTTTCAAAATGTGACCTATGGGGGCAAAAATATGCATTTACCTTTCTTTTCTTCTTTTTTAAAGAAAAATGGTGATGGTTTTATGATATGCTGTTTCTGACTAAAAGGCATTTAATTTTTTGTTGAATTGCTGTTGAATTGTATGAGATTGTCACTTTGATTTAGCTCTTGGATGAAAAATGTACTACATTGTACTTGTATTTTGTCTACATGTATTTACATCTAATCATATTAGGTACAGATTTGTTGGAGGTTTAGTATGGTGCACTGGCAGACTTAACACAATGAAAACAATGAGTTGTAACCCATGGGGAAGGAATGCAGATTGATTGATTCGATCCTTTGTAGAGTAATGCTAATACAGAAATTGTATTGCCTTATTTATAAATCACCTTCAAATGATGTGTGTGTAATTCTGTTACAAATTCATCATAAAAATCGTCATATATGTACCCTGTCTCCTATAATTTTACAAGAAAGTAATGGTGTTCAAATGTTCAATACTCATGCAGCAAATATTATTTTTGGCGATGTAGTTGTAGCAGATTACTGTCAACCAGTATAAAATGGCACGCCTGTGTGTGCATTAATGTTTTAAGTATACGCAACTCTGATAGTAAATATATGTTACAGTGCATTTTTAGTTGATTTATTTCTTTTAGAAAGCTGAGGTGTACAGTTTCGGTTTTGACAGTACTCAAGGATAAATTATATATATTGTTATAAAGTTGAAATCGTCTATAGTGGCAGCTTTTATGAAGTCTATTTAACATGTTTAATGTACTAATGTCATAATCATGAAAATGTATCGTTTGTGATGGGAACGTCAGTAATAACTTTTCACAGTTTTTATGTACACTTTATAAACGGCCATGTCTACAGTCTCGCGATGTATAACATATTTACCCCTAAAGTCAAATGATAATATTGTGAAGTGCGGATCCCGGATGTCAAGGTAGAGGATGCTCAAAGTTCATATCTTGACGAAAAAAAATTATACTATTAGAACTTCATCCGTTTTTTTTTTCTTCAGCTTAGTAAAAGTTTGATTTTGTTAGAAAATCAATAACAATTATTGTTGCAGGGTTAAAAACTTTCTTTTTAAAGAGAGACCAACTTGCCCATCTTCCTTAATCCCCCGTCCTTTTGAGTGATTATTTAATGTCATAATATAATGATTTAACATCAGAGTTTCATCATTTATTAAAAACTATCTATTCCAACTAGAATTATTTTATTATAGATATTACGTTCTTTTTTTTCTTGTACTGAATCCAACTTTCTTCAATACATGTAACACTGATTTTTTTTTTCGTGTAACATCTTTTGTTGGTAACCCTCTCCCAACTCTGTATGAAAGAATGAATTACTGATTCCTATAGATTGTGCTTCTTGTCGATGTTGTATGTAATACTGTATCTTATGTACTGATACACTCAGTTTTAAAGTATTTATAAATAGAATTTGTTTACATACAAAATTGTCAACAATAATTCAGGCTGATAGTAATAAACAATTCAGGAACACGGCGGTATAACATAGACTGAAATATCACAAAACATAGAATACATTGTATCACTACACACAACTTGTACAGAAAGTTCCATAGGTTGTCTGTGATTTCTGATTGAGACCAGAGGAGGAAGATCCGAGTCTGAAAGTCATTCTGGCACCTTCCAATACGTGTTCATAATGCTTGATTGGAACATAATAAAACTCCTCTAACCACTCTGGCTTACAAGCTATTACCCCTGTAACACGGAGCAGACTCCCGCTGAGTGTCACGTGATCAGACACACCCTGTACCCAGTGTCTTTTTGCGTTGTCCACACTGTAAACCACGGTGTCAAAATTCTTAGTTTTTGAATCACTTTCTTTGAGACACTTGTCTTTAAGAACGTCTGGCGACAGAGCGAAGCACAAACGCGCCACGCCGTCCGCCTCTTTGTTTGTGAGCAGGTGATAATGAGAGAAATCTGTCCATCGCTGTAAGTCACATAGATCTTCAATGTCCACACAGTTTGACACAGATTTGAGGTAGAACATCAGTTTAGCCAAAGGCCGCTGTGGCACTCTGTCTCCCGAGGTTTCCATATCCACTGTTGATGTTACATGATGGGAACTTAAGGCAGTAATGTGCGCGTGATAGTTATTTATATATGTAAACTTCCTGTATATTATGCGTCCTATTATCGCTAAGTATATACATTAGGTTAAATACCTCTTGTTCATTTTGTCTGTTATCGTTTCTTTCAATTTATTGTCTTAACATAAGGTTATTCAACTGTACATTGAACATGAATAAAATGTACACAACCAATAATAAGATGGTTACTTTTTCAAAAGCTTTATTAAACTTAAAGTCATATATGGCGTATTTTTTTCATAAATTCAGACTAACTAAAATTAAAATGAACTTTCTATTTGTTTTATATGAAGATAGGACTTTCCTGTAAATTACACATTTTAAATCAATCACGTTTCAAAGATATTAGAAATGTAAAACAATAATCGATTTATTTACCGACTCCGCATTTAATTAACAGACAGTTTAAAATCAGTCTAACTATGGAAACATGAGGTTATTCAAGTTCAAAATCGGTAAAAATTTTAATTTGAACGTAAATAACATATATCATGTTTATCTACACTCAATCTCGTATTTTTATTTTTTAGCTCAGATATACGCCATACATAGCTAAACATCAATCCTGGAATATCTCCAGAATAGACCAATATGCAGATTTGAAGCTCAGATTTTCTTTAAAAATCATGTCTTATATGTTGCTAGAGCATTTCACACCGAATATATTAAAAGCGTATGAAAAAAATTCTTTTATCGGAAAATTATTAAAACTACGATTTTCTGGACGCGTTTGATTGACTTTCAGAAAGTAAACTCTATCCATAATACTTAAGAAATGTAGGAATTTTGTTGTGTATCAATGAAAAATATGAAAGCTATAATCAAGGAAGTTCAGAGTAGAAATGCGAGAAAACAAAACCAACTCTCAGTATTGTCAGTCTGTCTTCATTGATGTGTACAGACTAAACAAATTGAACACACTCGGGTAAAACGTAAACACTAACAATATAATAGAGCTCGTGCCCTGTTTACAAACAGTTCGACGTGATGTTATGAAGAATGTCGTTGTCAATGAATTCTTACAATATTCATGTAAGTTCAAATCATTAAACTTAAGGTTTTTTTTTTGTTTTTGTTTTTTTTTTTAATAATAATAAAATTAGACATTTAAATTTGTAAACAATGCTACTATGTGCAGACCCCTTTAATATATAAAAGTTGAAGAACAAAACAAGCGAATTGTTAAAAGACCACGCTTGGCTGTACATTCTGTCCTTTGACCAGTGAATCCAGACATGACACATGTGTCCAAACCTCCAATCCAGATCTTCCTATTTCAGGACTTAGCCGCCAACCCGTCACATCACATTAGGATTTCTGGCTATAAGCTCTTTTACATATCTACTTCAAAGCTTCCAATTTTATTGCTCATTCTTAAATATCTTGGTTTCTTTTAATTTACTTTTAATTTTTTTTTTGTAGATGACCAATCACAAGATATGAAAACTTCCGAGTTACATTTTTATTGAGGATACAGATGTTAATGATATCAGAAAACCTAGTTTTTAATTTATCGTGAAGAATGGTTGTATAAAATTTAGAAAAGTCGTACGTTTGGATGTAACTGACTTTTGAAAAAAAAATTTTGCGAAGTTCTTTGGAGTTTTTGAAAATCCATATCTGATTTACACCACTTCTAGAATATCGTGTAGCGCAGTAAGTGGGAAGTTTCTCAAGTTAACATTTTCGTGAGGAGTAAAGATAGGGGCTTGGTAAAGCAGTTGCTGGACCCGGTGTAAAGACGAATAAGGACCCCCGTAGAAAAATGACGTCTTTATTGAGGGGGCACAAGCATGTAGTACCTATGTTTACTATAGTAATCTAAATATCGGCAAAATTATTGGGGGGGGGGGGACGGCCCCCCGTGCCCCCCCCGGTTCCTACGGCCATGATTGGTTAGAATTGTTAACATAATCATCCGTGTCATATGTGGAGATTTTGCTCATTAAAGAAGCTTATGGCCAACTAACAACTAAACTGTCTGACGAACAGGATGACTTCCTAATCGACTTTTCCATGGCAACTTCTTAATCTATTAATGTAGTATTAAAATATTCCTCTACACTTCCACTGCAACTTTAGTTCTGAAAAGATTGTTCTGCGTTCGGACAAATTAAATACATTTAGAAGAAAGTAGATTAAAATGTTTTTGATCAGAATTGTTCGGATGAACTGGATTACTGCTCAGACAACTTAACGAATTACACTTCACTATGCTAACAAAGAAATTGACGCAATTAATATAAGTAATTTTCTTAATCACAAAAGGGTCCAGTCTTGTATTCCACCATATTTCAAGTTAAAGACTACACCTTGTATTTCCTACAAATATACATCGACTATTGCTTCCAAACTTTTTAATTACAAGAAAACTTTACAATGCCTGGATATCGAATATCTGAAACATAATCCTCCATCGTGTTCATGTTCTTCTTCACCCTATAACTATAGTCCTGCTGGACACGTTATTACTGGTGACGTCAATATAGTAAATAATGAGGACCTTAGATCACTAATTTTAAAAGGTCCTAAATATAGGGAACCCCGATCCTTCAACTGGCGTCGGAATTTCATAAATATTATGGGTTCTGTAGAGGATTACGCCAGGTGATGGGCCAGACATGAAAAAGAAGACCTTGACACTTTGTCAGAATGGATTAAATGACACTTTGTCAGAATGGATTAAATGTATCAGATGTATGTTAAAATCGCGCATTAAAAGATTGAGAGGCAATATGAGAACCATCCATCCTTCTGTATACAATAATCCAGAAGTGAAAAAAGAATTAGATAGATTACATGATCAGTACGTACTGGTCCCTGCTGACAAAGCAGTAACAACATTGTCTTTGTTTGTAAGGCTCATTATATTAAATGTATTTTAGAGGAACTTGGATTTTTAAAATTCTACAAGTGGTAATCCAACTTATACTCAAAGTTCTCTTTCTAAAGAAGAAATTCTTAAAAATCATATGTCAGTTTTGAATATTTTTAATATTCCAAACAACCAAAATGAATTTGAATTACCTTATCTATGTTGGATTCCGAAACTTCATAAAAATCCTTACAAACAAAGATATATAGCGGGTTCCAGTAAATGTTCAACCAAGCCTCTTTCTTTAGTCCTCACTAAGATATACTGAAACGCAAAAGAAACGCAACATCCTATTTATATATAGGATATAATTTTGTATCTAAAAAGTAAGAATATCTTCAACTTTGTAAATATCGGAAAGGAGATGGGTGAACATGACGAGCGATAAGCCTATAGTGTGACAACCATGGAGATGAAAAATTAAATTTCAATTATATAAAAATTTTCCTTGATATTTCATCTAACATTAAAATATACTTTATGTAAAATCTCTACAATTTGCAAAAATCCCTCAAAGATTGAAATTATTTGCCTGTGAAATATTAGACACACACTAAAGCGGGCAAAAAGAGTCATTTTCGCATACTATAACACTATTTTTCGATATGAGTGGGTCTTCGCTCCACCTTTTTGAAAGTTAATTCTCATTTTTTGGTTACCAAAAATATGGAGTAATGACCCACTATACCTTAAAAACATAATTTTATGACATAACATTCGCATCTTTTCGAGAAATACTTGAAGTCCATTAAGTCAAGGGTCATATCACAAACATGATTTAAATGCCACTGTTCGTCAGGACTTGTGTAGTCTAGTGGTTAGCGTGCTAGTCTCGAAAGAAAATGATACTCAGGATTTTATTGCTAGGGTTCGAACCCCACGAATACCACATTAATTTTTTTAATAAAAGAATAAATTTTTCCGAGAAAATTTTCCTCAGAAAAGTTTTGTTTATCACAATGTCATAAATTTCAATAATGAGAACTTTACTCTAAATATTAAATTCACAAACTGAACATGATTTTTATATTTCTGAAGCTATAGGCTTTCTGCACGCTATGTCCGCCCATCTCCTTTAACTGTTGAATGATTTTCATACCATTACCGGAACTTAAGTTTGAGTCCGCTTAGCAGAAATCAAAAATTAAATGTTTAACAAAACATTTTGCAATAATATGGGGTTTTAATGGTTTGTATCTGTTTTTCATAAGTAATGCAGCAATATTACGAGAAATAAATTATCCTTTCTTTTCCATATAAGCTATGCCAAGGCTTCCTGAAAATGACTTAAATACGCATTTCCATTGCTCTAGCTGGAAAATCTCAAAATAAAGGTGATGGAGAGTTGCAGATGCAAATATGCAATACATCACGCCTCAAGAGGCTCTTATGTATCAATAGCATGAATGACAGTCCTTGGACCGGAAGTCCAAGGGTTTTTACACTGCGCTAGGCTAGAGGAAATTCGACCTCATCATCTTAAAAACAGGCATTTAAAAATGGCAAAGAATATTTCTTTCGCTCAGATCTCGAGATTGATGAACCTATCGCATCGTAGAAATCAAGCTGCAAATGTTGTACATGGCAGTCTTGCACGCCGGGGTGGGGTGATTTAACAGTCATGAGTTACTTTCTGAAGTTAAAAGATAATCATTTAACATTTTTATTAAATCTCTGATGTTTTTAAATCGAGTTTAACCTTACTGGATACATTTTTGAAAATCATTAGATAAAAAATTCAAATATTTGTAGATAACTGCTTGTTGCGTTTCTTTTGCGTTTCAGTATATTAACAGTAGTGAAGGGGAAACTTCAAGAGTACTGTGCAACAATTTATTCGAGAAGTGATGTAAATCAGATGTGGATACTTAAAAATTCCAAGGAATTTTTGGAAAATTTGCAATCGCAAGATTTTACCAAAATCAACAGCTTTTCAACTTTATACTCAACCATTCCGCACGATAAATTTGATATCCAGGCTTTTTGATATCACTGACAGCTGCTTTTTCAATAAAAATGGAACTCGTAAATTTATTTACCTTGTCATTGGTCATTTGCAAAATTATTTTGTTAAACATTCTGATTGTACACACAA